ATATTATCCATGATGCAATGATTAATTTGAGTTGCATCATAATACGTTATCCATTCTAGTGGCATCAGGTATTATAATACCTTCATTGGACTCGTGCGTCCCATGTAGTTTAAATCGAACATAGGCTATTTAAGGGGGGCTCAACTATATAGCGACTCAACAAGCTCAAAAGCTTAGAGCCCCATTCATTTTGACAGTATTGTGAAAACAAACACTATTGGGATGTAGATCTGTTATCTTTTTAGATAAATAACTTTTAGAAGATATAATTGTGAAAACGTGACAGTCGGAGAGATAACCGTAAAATGGCCATGTTGGCCCATTCTAAAGAGGACAGCCATTTCTGTAGGCTTTGAAAAGATACAACTTCTAACGTTGATCCAAGGAAACGTAACTGGTAGGCCTTTGCGAGGGAATATCCAAGGGAAATTAGTCAATAATATAGGTTTACATGTACATAAATTCAACATGCAATGCGATCCGTTCCAAAATTGGATGTGTCTGGATCATAAAGCCCATTGTTGATTATAAGAGGACCAAGAACAATAAATGATGAACAAGTTCGTCAGATCAAGGATGACAAGTGGCGTCACCAGTACTTTAATCAGATTGTTCTTATAGTTTTAAAGGCAGTGCGATCTATTGATATTCAAAACCACAATGATATATTTTTTTTAAAAATCAATAAAGAAAACCACACACGAGAACTATTTTTTTTTAAACTCAGCAGGTAACTGTGTAACAAACGTTGAGATCTCTACATTCTACAAGCCTGTGGCAACGACTAACAGTAAAATCTTTGTTGATATTATATCATCTCATTCACGTGCAGTAGACAGAAACCTACCAATCAATGAACAGTCTTTTTATAGCTCACTACAGAAACGTTTCGTAACATATAACTATTTACAAATATTTATATCTTCACAAAACATTCGTATCAAACCTTCGGTTGTAAAAAGATGTCTCTAAAAATTGTGTTTGACTGTTTCATTCGAAGTAAGCGCTTAATATAAAAGTGCTTAATCATCAAAACTAACGGTTATCAAGTACTTGCTTAGTCATCATATTGTAAGACTGCGCGCCAAACACACCACGAGCAGGTCACCGAGTGAACTACGTAATTTCTGGTTTCCAGTGAACACGAAAAGATAACGTCAACATTGGCAATTTCTACTTCGTATTATCAACAAAAGGATTTTATACTGTGACTGAAGACATTTTAATACATTGTGTAGTCAGTGGAATATGAGCAAGAAGGTAATTTATGTTTTATTTTAACTTTTAAAGCCTGAGTGAAAAAACTCACTAGATTTCTATCCAGCATGTCTTTGTTTACGTCCTGTTTACGATACGAGCGCGTGGTCCATTTATTGCGCATATAGCAAAATAGGAAATCTGGCCCCAAATTGTCAATTTTTGAAACGATTCTGTGTTTAGTATGTGTTTCTGACTAAAATGATGAATGGCAAGAACCAAAAACTGATTTAAAATGTGTATTTGGCTTTGTTTACAAAATATTTAGTCGCAATGACCCAATAATAAAAGCAAGGGCAGGTAACCTATTTTTAGATCTGACTACCTCACCTCATTTCAAAGTTTGATGATAACAAAGGCCATTGTCAAATAAACGCCCAACAGAAATTTTTAGAAAGATCAGTTAGATATTATTTGATTATTTTTAGGTGAACATTGAGTTGTTCAGTGTAATTTTCATAGTTACACAATAAAAAGAAATTAAATAGATTTGTTAATTGACTCACTGAATGCCCTCATTACATCCATTGATTATATTATATTCAGCATTCCTAGCTGATGTTTTCAGGTACAGTTTTCTATTCAGACTCTGAACCGATTAAATGATTGTACCTAATGACAACAAGGTTCTTGAGTTAATTAGATGATGAAGAAATGTTATTGAGTACAATAACAACGATTATTTTTATATTGAAGATGAACTTTTCAATGATTTGCTGTCATTATAATATAGGACTATTTATATAGCTTTAACATATATTTACTGTATGTTTTATCTGTAGATAAAGAAAATTGAATTATTGGCCTTTGAAGGCCCTTTTGCCTATGGTTACATTCCTATCATAAATTTGACATTCAAGATAATGCCAAAAGTATATTTTTTATAGCTGAAAAGCCTAAATATTTATGATTTTGTAACATGCCCCAATCAGCACTTTATTTGCATGAAAATACATATTTATTCTTAACAAAAAAATACATAATTATTCTGTACCTGTACAAGATATTTTTTGATGGGTGTATGTCCTACAGAAAGTGTTTTAAAGGGACATTTTTTTACCAATAATACCTTAGTCCAACCCCCTCATTGGGGTTGGGTCCAAAGGGGGCTTGGCCCCATCAAATGAGAAAAAAGCCCCAGCTAAACCTTCTTCAGTTCATCAGAGATCAATTTGCAGTGTCTTTGTACAAAATCAAAGAGATGAAGATTTTTATAGAGATTTTGGTAGCTCAAAAGGGCTCAAAATGTTAAGAAATGAGTTCAAATTTTCATTGGGGAGGGGTCACGCTGAACACAATATTCGAGCCCCAGCAACAATTTACTCTTGGCACAAACAGGAATTTTTTAACTTTGCCAATCAGTAAAACTGTCACTGTCAAAATTTTAGCCTTTAAATCCATGTGTGTCCAGAATAATCCACGATTGAAAGTTAAAAAGACAAGTCGTCTTTTCTTGAGACACTGCCATTTAGAATAGACATCTAAATTAATAGAAAAAGAGAATCGTTTGAAGAAATTATGTGATTTTCGTTCATTTGTAGATCTTTTGAAGACTATTTACATATATTCTAAACTCAAATCAACCACTCAATGAATTTTTAGTTATTAAATAACTTGTTTATAATTTGGTTAAAAGTTTGCTATTTTAAATGCTCAGCCACCATTTATTTTGTTTATTTAGTTGTTTCTATTATTATGATCAAGCCAGATGATTACAGACATTTTTCCATCAAATTTTGATTTGCCATCAATTTTTGATGATTTTTAGTCTGGAATTTATCTTTGATCCTGGAACTCTCTTTGAAGTTCTATAATTAAATTATAGAGTTTAGAAACAATTGGTAAATGTTTTCTGTGATCATAAGCAGAAATTTTTCCTGACTTTTCTCTATTAGGTTAAATAGGAATATTTATTGATTGGTTTCAGAATGAAATACACAGACATATCCATTTGTTTTTAATTAACAGGACATTGCTACAGTTCTTTCAATCACCCCTGTTCAATAAGTTCACTGACATCTCTATTGAAATTTTAATGAAAATCGGAATATCAGAGCTCTTCATAATATCATAATATTATACCGAAACTGTTAAATGTTAGAGTGACTTTGTGTTGATAAAAGTATATGGAATTCCTGAAAGTGTCATTCAAAGTCATTTTAAGTGTACTGCTTTGTAGAATATATTCAAACCACTTAATAAATCAGGGAAGTTCAAAGACAGATAACATTTATGACCTTATAACAATAATTGCATGGTAGTCTGATCGCAAAATATTTAATTTGATAGATTTAATCATAAAGGTAAATCAGTCTCTTTTGATTTAATCTCAAGGATTGGTCACAGTCATTTTCACATTTCAAATTGTCAAGTTCAATGCAGACATTTTTTCACCTTCACATGAAAAAAATGAAATAAATTAACAATGATCAAATGAAAGGAAACTTTAAAAACAAATGTTAACTTAAATTATTTTATTTTGAAATATCTAATATTTTGAAATTCAGTTGTCATTAAAATAAAATGGCTGATGAAATATGAATGTTATCATGTGAAATAAATCTATTTTTATCAAGATGTAATTCACATAAGTATTTAGTAAATGTATGGAAAATTTTCAGTCACTCCCAAATTTGTATCCTGGTTATGGTATCCTATTTCTAATTAATCATACACAATGATTTGCATTTTAACAATTTTTCTCATTAGTTTTCTGATGTAGCAGCAGTTTCTTTGTTAATCATACTGACACACTTTATAACAAAGGGCTTTATTATAATGAGCATGTGACCCAACATGAGGATAAAGAGAAGCTACCTCTTGACCCAATTTATTGCCATATCAGCAGTTTTCATTGTGATATTTTATCACCTGAAGGCCAATACAGCTTTAATAGGAATTTCTCTGATTACGGAAATTTTTATAGCTTTAGTTCAAAGTATGGAAAATGACTATCTTAAAATGAAAAATGGCAAAATGTACTTGATAATGAATGGCAGGGTTGAAAGATGTTTTTCTTTGTGTTATGAAAGCTGTGTAGAAGAGTTGAATAACAATATTAACCTTTACGTCATGAATAAATTAACCTGAATAACAAAGGAAAGAAGTAAACAAACAGAGATCTGAAGGTCTTGATCTACAATTGACATAGATAATACATTGACATATTGCTGAATTGGAATTTCTACTGAACTCAGTCCTGTTCTAGTTGATTCTTGACTATGTTTGATAATAGATATGATCAAAGTTCTTAATATTTGAGATAAAATAGTTTACATAGTAAGCTACTAAAAATAAATATCTAGGTTAATTTTGTCTGGTCATGTCAGCCAAGGGAGATAACTTGCTTTTCTTATGTATTACCACAATTAACTTCTGGTTTTTATTTCCTTGTTTTTCAAAATAGCAGTTCTTGAACAAAGTTCCATGTCAGATATCAAATAGTAATGATTTTATGAAGAAAGAAGGAATTTTGCAATCTTAACTATCAAATATTTATATGAATTAGAATTAAATGTAAATATGTTTGTAAAAGACATATTTCAATGATCAGCGTGAAATCCACCCATTAGCTTGAAAATATGGCAGGAACTTTAAGAGTGTAGTCTAGGCAGTATGTAATAAATGTTATGTCTGAAAGGTATCATTGAACATATACCACCAAAGATTTGCTTTAAATGATTCTTTTTTTGTCATTGCAGATTTTCTTGACACAACTAAAAAGGGAAGGGAAGTTAAACCCAGAAGAAGGTCACCGTATCTCAGACGATGAACTCATCAATTTGACGGTGAAAGAGTTAAACAGGCTGCTGAAGGGCCTGACTCGAGATCAAGTTGTTAAACTCAAACAACGAAGGCGAACCTTAAAGAATCGAGGATATGCAGCCAATTGTAGAGAAAAGCGTCTTTCACAAAAAGAGATATTGGAAGGTGAAAAAGACAAGTTAAAAGATGAAGTTGACAGATTACAGAGAGAAAACGATGTAGTGAAAATGGAACTGACTGCTTTACGTTCCAAGTGTCAGGCTTTAGATCGCTATGCCACAATACATGATATTCGAGTATTGCCCCCTCCAATAATAGTGAGTACAGCTTCTCACGAAGGTGTGATAGTCAAGACAGAACCGATGATGTCTCTTTCAGAAAGAATGTCGGTTTCGTGACAGACTCCTGATCCGTATTATTCTGTACCATACACGTACAGAAATTAAGTTATCTGAACTCTAAACTGTTTCTTTTAGACTGGACTAAATAGTTGTTATTTATAAAACTGACAAACTAATCCTGTAACCCTGTACTAGAAAAGTGTAGCTGTCTCTGTACAGAAATCTAAAATTTACTAAAGCTTACTGTGTATCTTCAATTTCGTATCCAGCTAAGGATTTATATCTGCAGTTCCACAAAATCTCTGAATTGTTGTTGGTTAATTTTATTAGAGGTAGTTTCAAATATTTCTGTATAAGGCTTTAGCCTTAAGTGAAGTTAATTTACAAAAGTCTTTATATAATAGCAATTTACACTATAAATTATAATTTCAACTTGGATCTGTTTATTGGAATGTCAAACCCATTCTATGTAAACATTGTTCTCAGATTTCGAAAGTAGTTTACAGGAAACTTGACTGTCCTATTGCAATATATACTACTCGGTAAATCAATTGTTGTTTAGAGTACTGACTGGTACGTAATAGAAAAAATTCAACATTGAACAGGGCTTGGCATTACAATGGACAACTTTAAGATATAACTAAGGTTCATCCTAATATTGGATGATATTGATATAGAATGTGATGATGTTGTAGTATGGAAGATATAATTGATTGTTTTGCAGTATGGTTGTTAAATTGTATTATATAATGCTTATAATTACTTTATTCATCATAATCTTATTTCTTCAATTTCATATCCTAGACAAACTTGCTGATGCAACACAATTTGAAACAATTACAGAAGAATTCAATGTGGTTTTCTTTGATTTCACATGACTTTCAAGGGTCAGCAATTTCAGAAGTTTTCACTAATGATGTGAGCACATCAAATAAACATTTCTATCTGAAAATTTGTTATATTGATCTGAATTTTGAGATATCAGATTATAAAGAGCTGTAAGAAATATTTGTCTAGGAATATCATGTTGTATATTAGCATTGTCTATATCATTTCAACAATATCACTACAGCTACTGGATTGTTTTCATTATCTCAACTGTGCCTTTGAATCATTCTCAAGCCGTGTTTTTCACTGAAGTCATTTTATTCTCTGTTTCTTTTTACTTTATTTTTGTAACAGATAGGACATGTTTTTATATTTGACTTTGTGCTTTGATGTGAAATTTTAAGTTAAAATGATTTATAGAATCATCAAAAGCGATAAAAATATATCATCTGTAATCTTCAAAAGAACCAGTTGATTTAAATTTCTGTCTTTGTTAAACTTTGATTTGTACTATCATTATGTTAAATTATATTAATATCTTCAATTCAGTATATGTTTGATTTTACACAAAGCTTAGTGTGAGTGAATTATAGTAATCATAGTAATATAGACTATTATTTTATTTTATACTGCAGTGCAGTTTTGACAAGATACCGGTTGAGACAATATTACTTTTGTTATCATTTCACCAACAGATTTTTAAAGAAGTTTTAAACCCTAGTTTATAGAGTTCTGTTTTTTCACATTCAAATTTTATCATATTTTATTATGACTTATTTCCATTCTGTGATTACTGTTATTTTGAAAAAAATTATTGATATCCATTTCCATATTTTTTCGGGTTAAACCTTATTCTGAATTTGCTGTAACTACAGATGGCAGACCAAAAAATTACAATGATGCAAAAAAGTAGCCATAAGAACCAGAAAATAGTGTTTAGTCTGTTTATGAAACCAGAATTTTTTTTTTTCAGAAATCAAAAAATCTGTTTGGTGAAAAATGATATCAAATAATGAAAAAAGTGTATTATATAGTATTATTATTATTGTTTAGTTTATTAGTACTGAATAACTAAATCTATTTATTTTTTATGGCAGCAAATTTATTTTGTACATGATTTGTTTGTTTGTTTTAAAGATTTGTTTGTGTTATGATTTATGCTAAGATGATTTATCTTGGTTGTTTTAGTTCTTTGCAAATTATTTATTCAAATTTCTCTAATGATTTATATTTGTTACAAAAAAAATATCTCAGAAAAATTTGAAAAAAAAAAGTTAATGGCTTAAAGCTGAAGAAAAATATAAAAATAGTCAACAAAAAAGAAAAACTTCATTATTGACAAGTAAATGTTGTTCAAACCTTGCTCATATGGTGCAAATAAATGCTTTTATGACTGAAATTTTTGCAAATAATGTCATATTTTTACTGAAAATGGTCAAGAATTGCTTCAAATTATCAGTATGTAAGATAGTGGGGTGAAGAGATATTTTAAGTGTTCATGTACAAACATAAATTATGCTGCTTTATTCACTTTTTAGTTATTCTCTCTTTTTGTTATGATGGTTTTGAGTGATTTCTGTGTCAGTTCCTCTGTGTGGAAGTTGACCAGATGTAGAATACGGGTACTTGATGATAATGTCAGTTCAATCCATTATAATCGAAACAAGAGGAAAGAACCAAGTCATTTATTGAAATTTAGGCACTTCATATTTGTTTTAATTCACTGACAATGTGGAAGAGTACTGAAGAATTCTGAGACTTTTTTAAAGAATAAAATATGACTTCGAATAGCTTTCATAGAATTTTCCAGATCCTTGGTAGAAGGAAACTTCTTTATTGTGACTCTTCTTCAAGACATTGCTATCTGGATTTGAATCAGGACATAGCCAAAAGAAAAATTCACATGTGGATCAAAATTTGTAAGTCACAATTGGACAATAATTCTTTTCAACATTTGATTATATTTCAAAACTCAGCTGAAAAAACCAACAAAACTTGACAAAAAAATAAAGTGAACAATATATAGTGCTAAAGAACATTTCCTGGTGGAAAGAAAAAAACTAAACTGTTGATCAGTTAAAAGAACTTGTAATATAATTATCAGATATATAATCTTCATCTCATTTTCATTGTTCATCATTAATCATCATCATCATCATCATAATATATAGTTCATCTAGCACTTTTACATGATATTCTACAAACATTTCTCAAACTCAAGATGATTAATATTAGACTAAAGAAAATACAATTTAATTCCATCTTTAGTACATTTAACAAAATTATTCCAATGATTCCATTTTAGCTAGGTGAATATTTACTCTTTGAGTATAGATGTGTATTTTAGAGCAGGTATCTGACATATTGAGTTCTAAACTTTATGACGAAAGTCACTGACTGGAAAATTACAGCAATTCTTTGTAAAATATGAGTTTTCAAAAAATTGAATTTTCCTTGAGGTTCATTCATTTTACATACTAATTATTTATTGTTCATCTTCCATCAAAAACATTGTTTGACAGCAACGAAAATGACTTGTAAAGAAATGTATATATTTTGCAGTATTGATGAGTTGGCGGGAGAAGTTTGAAGCATTCCATTGTGGGTATTTTATAATATATACAGGGATACAATAATTCCAAGTGTCATTGTTTGACATTGTCAAAGCTTGTGTTTTTGGGTGATTTTGGATGCTTATAGAGGTGTGGTGTTGAATGTGTTTTGTTTATGCTTGTGGTTAAGGTTTCAATACGTTTGAAAGCTCAAAAGGAGAATCCCAGTTTATTTTATATTATAAAGAAAGGACTTGAAGCCAGTGTCAAAAGTTTGGAGTGTAAAATCCCATTTCTTATGGGTTGAAATGGTAGTCTATTACAAAATAGATCCAGAAGTCCAACTGCTAGATTAATGATTACAATTGGTTATGTATGGGTTTTCCATGATATATGTTTAAGAGTTTACCTGATATAAATACAATCGAGATATTTTTCGTGATTTTATGAGAATTTCTACAACTCGCCGTCGATTATCTGATGAAACTCTTCTTAATTGATGTTCAATCGAAATTGGCGTTGAAGTGGCGTCCATAATTAACAAGTAAATGTAACCAATGAAAATCTCTTAACGGTATGTGTTCCATACCATTTTGTCAGATCATGAATGATATATAGAGTTCACAAAAAACACGAAGGAATCAATCATAATTGCATTTTAATCAGCTCTTAGTTGTAATAATACACTTACAAAAATTGTCTCAAAATAAATGTTTCACAGTAATTATAAAGATCTGTGTTTAAAGTGAAAGGCACTGCAGTTATTATTAATTTTCAAATTATCAATTATTATAATATTTCATTTTGTATATGTGTGTAATTGTGCTCAAGTTGATTTCTTGTTTCCATGCATACTATATTTCCATATTTGAATAAACTTGCATTATACTCATGCTTTTTTTCTTATAACAGGGTTACCTCATATACTGTGACATTCTATAGGTGGTTGGCAGCAGTCCCTTTCAGAAATGAGCGTAACATGTTCCAAGAGGCCCTTCAACTTCATATCATGACAATTCTACTCTGCAGTCTTTGATTACGTTGCTCTGAAAATTTTGTTTTAACTTGCGCATCTGGACAATGAAGGCCATCTTGACCAGCATATTTCAAAATGGGGGTGGAACGGAATCTGATAAATGCAGCCTACAAATCATATAAGGAATATTCATTAGTTATAAATGAATATAAGAATTCTTTTCATTGGGCTCTTAGTTGTCCTGTATATATAATTATGAGAGGAGTTAGCAAGAGATAAGAAAAGAGTAGCTCAAGCTGATAAAAGAGCTAAATATCAGAGGGAGGCAAACGGATAGTATCGACCTGAGAAAACCTAGCTTCATTATAGAGGCCTATATTTCCAACCACTGCCCGGAAACATTGTTTTGGGGGCTGCATCCAAAAAAAGAAAAAAAAAACCTAAACCCCTAACTCTAAGGATCTGTATAGGCGAAAGAAAAAAAATAATACAAATGAAAAGAAGTAGGCTATTTGTAGACACTACACAGTATAGTTCTATAAAAAATTACAAATAAACTTTATTAATCAAGATGGTTGCAGTTTCATTTCTTCGTCGGTCTTTTTGAATTTTTTTGTTTTCTTGTTATTAACTAAAATGTCAACCAATACTGTTCCTTTTGTTTCTTTTAATAAGAGAATAAGACACCCAGATACTACCATTAATACTGTTATTACTGCATAGGGTAAATAAATATCTACACCATCCTGCAATTATATAAAATATCAATAACTATTTGAACCGGTAGGTATTAAATGCCAACCGCCGTACGGCCCCTACTGCTAATATAAATTTGCGCTTAAATATGTTTTGCTTATTTTAATGATCGCAGATTTCATATTACGAAACTAAACGTTTTCAATTTGGCGAAACATTTTCAATTTGGCGGAAATTTTGGTGACGTCAATATTATGGAATCACATAATGGATAAAAAAAATGAAACGATGGGTAGGTAGGGGCGGTAGTGCGGATGGCATTTAAATACCATCCATTCGACCCGAAAAATGATACTCCTTTTTCTGGCAGTTTTGGTTATTATATTTGTGCCATTGCTGATCATACGAAATTAATGAGATCACCAGGCTAGCAGACTGTGACACGATAGCAGAGCCACCATTGATCTAACATGTAAAGTACTAGTCTATGCTACTGATTATGTCGTTTTGCTTCAATACAAATATAAGTGTTATAATGCACTCAGTTCCTATGACCTATGTTTGTAGTCAGGCCCGATAGTGACAAATTTGCATGAAGTTGAAATTAAGCTTTTTATATTGATTATAAAAGGATACAGCCAAGTCATCACAAAATACTTAGGCCTACGCTTTCCATAATCCGTTGTCAAAAAAGACAAAAGCAGAATGACAAGAACGTCTACCTTCATCACAAATAGTTGGCAAGGAATGTTCATGCTAGCATTTCCAAAGGCTCTTCTGGCAATAAGGCCTTCCATTTATAAACACTTTCTAAAAATAAATACTATATAAGGCATGAACTGAAGTCCATTGTTATTACTTACTAATGATATTAATTGAGCAGAAAATATAGCACCAACTCTGGCCATAGTGTTACTAGCAGCATATCCCAAATTCCTAAAATAGCCAAAGTTCAATAATCCATTCAAACCTTTAAGTATGAAACATATCACAAGCACGGATAGTCTTTCTCCAATCTGGACACCATGGTGATTTATTCCCTCACCAAGGGTATTTGGCATAAGGCACACGGAGTATCCTGGGCATCTCCAACCGGGTGGTTGATCTATGCCTAGGGTTCAGAATGAATAGAATAGAATATGAATAGAGTGGCGAATAGTGTGCTGTGCGTTATAATCAACATTCAAAAATCGAAAGAGGAACCACTTTATTCACAAAATTGGGTATTTTAGAATTGACATACCTTACTACTGTGGGATATTGTTCAGTTGTAAAAACCATCATAACTGTCCAGCTAGTTCCAACACAAAGGTTTGCTACCATAGCACATCCATTTATAACACTTCCTTTATAGTCACTTGCACCTGTCATTATATACATTAATACAATATATGATATAGATGAACATTTTGAATGAACAGATCTTATAACTCAGATTTTATCCATTGTTGGAGCAATGTATTTACTAAGGAACACAAAATGTCCAAAATCAGACATTTGAATCCATCTATGATCTGACAAATTTGTTCTTTTATTTGTGTGTTGTCAATATTATTAATTGTGCTAAAAATGAAAACACCGTTTCATAATTCCTGACATATAAAAGGTAAATATTTTATGGAATGGAAGGTGTATTTGATTGGTTTAATTTTGTTTAACATTGTACATTTTGGTCAGATCATTGATGACGATTAGAAAACGGAACAGATCTGCATTTTAATAAGATTAAAACTGTACCATATAGCCTATATCCTGTACATACTCCTGCCAACCTTTTGCGACTGAAATCGTTAACATAGTACCAGAATCGGTATAGATTTTAGTCTTCTATATGACTTATTTTATTTACCATAAACACTAACTAGAGCAGCAATTAATGTGAGTGCACCAGCAGCATAATAAAACCCTGCTACAGCCCATCTTCTTCCTATACTAAACATCAAACTAAAGATCAAATCATCTGAACTTCAAATTCAGCTTTGTTCACAATTATTCGTATCTAACTTTTTGAATTTGTGCAAAAAATCGGGGATATGGAAATCCGGATTTTTGGTAGTCTATTATTTCTCGTAATATGATATTTTGTCTGCATTCCCTAATCTGACAGACGAAGGCTTATAGTTCGAGATTAATGTTGAACCAGATCAAGATTGTATTTTGTGGATTATGCAATAATATGAATAGCAGTCCATATTGAGATAAATGTGCGTATTTATATATACTTACGTATTAGCTGAGAATAAAACAATCAAATGAGAGGGCATCTCAACTACAGTTAATAAAAACATGTTAAGAAATAAATTACCAGATAAATTCTGAACACCTAAAGCTATACAGTAAAAGGCTGCAGACTGGGACATCCTGTAAAATAATTTGTCATTTCAACAAAACAGACTTCATGACTACAGAATTCGTGATTGGACATTGGTGATTTTGTACATTTTTTTCTGCTGTTTTAGGGTGATATGAGAATAGAATTCCCATAAAAAGCACGGCTATCTAGGTCACCAAGTTAAAATTATAGACCTATATTTCTGCTGTTAAATATAACTTATTAAATATTTAAAAAGACATATCCTGGTGGTACTGACTCATCACGCTTATGGCGATACAAATCACAAATTAATGAAGACGGCAACGCCGTGCAGTTTAAGAAATTGTGGTTGGACGAAGGCATTTCGCAACCGAATATACGAAATATGTATTTCGAAGTTACATACCATGCAATAGAACATATTGCTGTTCGTTTGGCCATTTCTTTGGTTCTAACAAGATCTAAATAAGAATAATCTTTTCTTTTCTCGCGGTTGGCTTTTTCTTCTTCGTAGATTAGTTTCAGAATACCAGTATTTGGTGGAACAGTATTATTTTTCTTGGCAATGTGTCGGATTATTTTTTCCGCTTCCTCTATTTTACCTGATACTGTTAACCATCTTATACTCTCTGGCACATAACTAAAAAAAGAAAAAACGTAATTCGACATGTACAGATGAGAGAGCAGTTGATTTCTTTTCTGGCCTTTAATTATGTACAAGAATATTTGTTCGATTTCTGAAGTTCTTGAAATTCTGTAATGAATGCTATTTCCAATAGTGACGTCATAATTTGGCAATATCTTCAGGAATCATCGACGTCAGGCGGAAAACAGGAACTGCCTCTGTTTCCCCGGTTTAGGTCTACGGTAGTAGAATAATTTACAGAATACAAATACTTACAACCATCCAATGAGTGGAATAACACATAATACAGAATTAAACACATGAAAATATTTCCAATCCGGTACCATCCATAAAAATAGTGGTATTAAAGTTGCTCCAACAGAAAACGCTGGAATGGCTCCTAAAATACCTCTCCATTTCGGTCCAACAAATTCCATAGCCAATGGAAAGCTAACAGTGGTTACTCCACCGATGGCTAGGCCAATAAAGAATCTCAAGACAGCAAACATCTTCCATGATATTGAAAATATTGTTATGGTATTGAAGACAAGAAGACAAAGCTGAGATGCAAAAAATGACGTTTTTCTTCCAAACGTATCTGAACTGTATCCGGTTATTATTGAACCGATTAGTACCCCAGCCATCTGTATTGACGTGATCGCAAATCCTATCCATCTTTTCTCACATACCAGATCCCACTGAAATACATTATTACATTGGAGTAACCTGCCCAGGTCATATCGATATGTTTGTGATTAAGTCACACATGTCTGGTCTTATTCTGCCTACAGAAAACTACCTTTGAATGATCCCATGGACAAAATACGTTATTATTTGGAAACGTTATCTAGATCGTTAGTAAACAAATACGTGGAGGGGGGTTTCAATCAAACGAGCACTTCAGCTCCTCTTTTGGATCTTACAAGACATTAGTCTTACCAGGGGGTGGGGGGGGGGGGGGGACTTGCTAAAGTCTCTTCTGTGACGTCTCTCCTATGAAGTTTAGAGCTTTGAAGTTGTCCAGGATCTCCTACCTCATTAATAATAGTTTTCCATTCCGTTAAATATATTCTGTTACATTGACTACCATTTACCGAACAAACATTAGTTAAATTATAATTTATAACACCATTTTCAACACATGCCCATTCTGGTATGGAACCACCAAATGCCATCATCATCATGGAAAAGGCCATTGGAATTTTGGCAAAGAGGATTGTTAAGGCTATCACTCTTTGGTAAAAACTGAACTCTCCTATCTGACCAATGATATCTCTCTTGTCCATTTTGATCTGAAAAAATCAAGTTCTGTTCACCGTCATGGTTCTGCCAACTTTGTCACAAACTCAATGTTCGTCGCCATTTAAAAACTACGTGTCTATCCCGAGGAAGGACGGTTTTATTGCATAAGAGGAAAGTCATATCATGGGAGATAATACTTATTAACATTGCTGACCGATAATGTAAAAGGCAAAAATTATGTCTTTCATTTCATTTCACACCTCGACCATTCCAAATAGTAGGCCTACTTGTTGCAGACCGACAGTGTCAATTGGAAGAATCTTCTCATTCCATACGACCTTTCGTCAGTCTGTTCTACCAAAATCATAATTAAAAAAATAACCTATTAGTATTATATATAGATCGTTGCTTGGGTAATACTGATGCCGTCAAGGTCAATTATACGGCCAAGTCCGGGGCTAAAAATCAAACTATATGCTGCTGATCTTACCTGAAATTTGACAACGTCTTCTCAGATGGTCAGCGTTGTCTACTAACTCTTTACAGTGCAATCTAGTGGAATTTAAAAAGATGAAATATTAATGAAATAACCAACATAAATATTAGAGAATAATTTGTATTCACAGTCACGTTTGATATCATTTTTTAAATTCAACACCTCGGTTAAAACCCATAAAAATCTTTTGAGAAACAATCTGCCATACATGCTTATAGAAATTTATAGAACAATGTTAAAGTATGATTGCCAATAAGAGAAATTGTAACGATGCTGAAACTGTTACATTGCTTGAGAATCATTTGAGATTTTTTTTTCTGTTACAATGCATTCATGTGGATGTCTAATCCCAATCTCAATTGCATAAGATTTTGATCAAAATTCCACACCAAAAGATCAATCCGTAACCGTAAGCACAATATCACCAATTTTCGACGTCTGCAGTGGTCTGAAACTCATTGAAATTTCTACCTGAAAGATATTGGCTTGGTATGTTGTAGAAGGTTCAATTTCTCCTGTCCATAAACCACAAAATCATACATTGGCAACGTCTGCTGTGACCATTGTAAATTATACACACCGTTGACCTTGAAAATTGCCTTGGTATATCTTAATGGGCTCTATTTGTTCGGCCAATATCTAAATATACGTCATATCTGGCAATTTCTTGAAACGCGTTAGTGTTTAAGTTTTAATGTAATAAAGTAAGAAGAAAACGACATTTTAAAGGTTATATAAGACAAACTTACTGCCTTTTTTCCAAATCTGCACCTTCACACGCGGTGTCCCAGTTTCCGTCTCATCTGAGTGATTGCTTATACTTGACATTGTTTATGGTCAATGAATTGTTGTTCACTAAGCTGGCGTGTTTCTGCACAAATTGTTGTCATATTTCGTTTAAAATAGTACATTTCTATACAATAACAACATCTTTTAAAAATCCGCCTTTTCTTTCAAATATCACGTTAATTCTGCAATGATACACTACAAAATATATCAAAATAGAAGTCTTTTCATTATTTTATTGTATAGCTGGTATCATATTCTATGGTTATATAATACATTTATCAAAAATAATACTTTTAAATTTTATTAAAATGTGTTTATAAAAGGTATAAATAACAAAGAACAATAATAACATTTTGTTTTAATATAACGAGATTCGCCCTTTGAATATCGTTAAAGGAATTGAAAGGTTTTCTGTACTTATTTTCTAGGGGACACTGATAGCCAGGCCCGTAGCCTGACAAGTACTCACAATAACACACAAGATATAATACGTTACATTTTTATTGCCGTTTTAGTTTAAAATGTAGTCGGGTATGTTTTATGGCAAAACGTTGAACAAATACGTCCAAGTTAATTTTCTGTTTACGCTTCCTGGCGAAGCTGAGTCATAGATCGTCGTTGTGGCGAATCAACGCGAGTAAGAGTTGAAAAGCTGCTTTCACACACAGCGGTAATAGAACGCAACAGTTGCAGCCAGTGCATATAATTTAGGGAAAGCCAATTTCTGCTCGTATAGTTTTTGAAAAACATGATTGGAGTCCTGCTTTTCTGTCTTGGCAACGTTACATGGAGAAATTGCTTTGACACCTCAAGTTCAGCGACAGAGGGAATTTCTACTCCATGTTTGGATAACGGTGTCAGAGCCGCCTGGTCCAGAAATTGAGGAGAATTCCGAAACATTGCACGAGTGGAACTATACAACCAGTGATTGTCCTGAAATCTCATCCTCATCTCATTCATACGGTGGCTCACATACGACATTTTCCACTTTTTATTTTGAATTAAAAACTTTTTTTTACTTGGTGAAAATTGATTTTGAATTAAAAACTTTAATTTTCACCTAGGTGATTTTAATTAGGTGAAAATTAGGTGAAAATAATTATCACGGTGAAAATTTAAGTTTTTAATTAAAAATTACACGAATTATCACCAAGTTTTAAATTAAATATTACACGAATTATCACCTAATTTTCACCTAGGTGGAAATAATTATCATGAATTTTTTAATTCAAAATTAATTTTATCAAATTGTCTATTCTAATGTAATTAAATTTAAAAATGTTATGAAAAGCCATGATGTCTGGTTTCATCCTCAGCCAAGTATAAACAGAAATATATTTAAAAACAGTTCTTAAGTAGGCCTACAGATAGGAATACTTAGTATTTTGTTGAATCATTTCGCATAACGCAGCTTTGATAAATGTATTATATAACCATAGAATATTATACCAGCTATACAATAAAATAATGAAAAGACTTCTATTTTGATATATTTTGTAGTGTATCATTGCCCAGAATTAACGTCATATTTGAAAGAAAAGTTTAGAAAACCTCTTTATAATCCCTTTAAAGCAGCCCTGGCCATAAACTACAGCTCTCATCATTAAACATCTAATTTGGGAATTGTGTAATATCTTCTTCAATGTTAAAATATATTATGAGTTCTGCCTTGATTTAATATAACATTTCATGGTTAACAAATCATTAACAAAAGCTTACTTACTTTCATTACTGTTACAATCATGTATTTCTGAACAGATTAATGATATAATCCAGTTACTATGGATTATCCACAACAGATTAGTAACTAACAGACATTATTGGTATATAAACAGGGGTATTTTTCAATATTTAGACATTACACGATTTATTACAATTTAATTAATAATTAATATTACTAACTTATCTTTATCAAAATGAGAGAAATTGTTCATATGCAAACTGGTCAGTGTGGTAACCAGATCGGAGCTAAGGTAAGAGTACTAGAACCATTACAATTTTCAGTTTTGATATTCCTGAAAATCGGTGTACACGTATATAATCATCGTCACTGTCCTAACTTTGCCATGTCATTATAAACTGGTATATCACTGGTATATCACTTGGAGTATTAGTGTCTCTGATGCATGACAAAAAGAATGTTTCCAGTAGATGTATTTAACCGTTTCACTTTAGCACTTTTTGTTTTATTTTCTAGTTCTGGGAAGTGATCTCTGATGAACATGGTATTGACCCAACTGGAACTTACCACGGTGATTCTGATCTTCAATTAGAGAGAATCAATGTATATTATAATGAAGCTACTGGTGGTAAATATGTACCAAGAGCTGTTCTGGTCGACTTGGAACCTGGTACCATGGATTCTGTACGCTCTGGTCCATTTGGTCAGATCTTCCGCCCTGATAACTTTGTCTTTGGACAATCTGGTGCCGGAAATAACTGGGCTAAAGGTCATTATACAGAAGGTGCTGAATTGGTGGATTCCGTTCTTGATGTAGTCCGTAAAGAAGCTGAGAGCTGTGATTGTCTGTGATTCCAGTTGACCCATTCTCTTGGTGGTGGTACTGGTTCTGGTATGGGAACTCTACTCATCAGTAAAATCCGTGAAGAATATCCAGATAGAATTATGAATACTTTCTCTGTTTGTCCTTCACCAAAGGTTAGTAATCAAGGTATCTTGTCTAATCTGATATTAAATTAGACATATAAACTATTCCATTTTAACACTTAGTGCACAAAATAACGCTTATCAAAAGTACCTTTAAATATTCATTTTGAATTTTACTAAAAGACCACATTGTTTTCACTCTCCACTAACCGATGTGATTTTGATATATTTCAGGTTTCTGATACAGTAGTTGAACCTTATAATGCTACTTTATCAGTACATCAACTAGTAGAAAATACAGACGAAACTTATTGTATTGATAACGAAGCTTTATATGATATCTGTTTCCGTACATTGAAACTGACCACACCAACTTATGGTGATTTGAATCATCTGGTATCAGCTACAATGTCTGGTGTTACAACATGTTTAAGATTTCCTGGTCAACTTAATGCTGATCTTCGTAAATTAGCGGTTAATATGGTACCATTTCCACGTCTTCATTTCTTTATGCCAGGATTCGCCCCATTAACATCACGAGGGTCTCAACAATATAGAGCTCTAACTGTACCAGAACTCACTCAACAAATGTTTGATGCTAAAAATATGATGGCAGCTTGTGATCCTCGTCATGGTCGTTATCTAACGGTAGCTGCTATGTTCAGAGGTCGAATGTCAATGAAAGAAGTTGATGAACAGATGTTGAACGTTCAGAATAAAAATAGCAGTTATTTTGTAGCAGCTGTTTGTGACATTCCACCAAGAGGTTTGAAGATGTCTGGAACATTTATTGGAAATACAACAGCTATCCAAGAACTATTTAAAAGAATCTCTGAACAGTTTACTGCTATGTTCAGAAGGAAAGCTTTCCTCCATTGGTACACTGGTGAAGGTATGGATGAGATGGAGTTTACTGAAGCTGAATCTAATATGAATGATCTGGTATCTGAATATCAACAGTACCAGGATGCTACCGCTGAAGAAGAAGGTGAATTTGATGAAGAAGAGGGTGAAGCAGATGATGCCTAAATTAAGACTTTCACTTTCTGTAAAGTCACGGTATGGCTACTTGTAATTTGAAACTAATAACACTGCAAACATAAATAACACAAGAAGAAGGAGAATTTGATGAAGAAGAGGGTGAAGCAGAAGATGCTTAGATTAAGACTTATCATTATTTGTAAAGATGTCACAATAACTTTGACATGCTGCCATTCGAAAGAAACGTAGAGCTGTAATTCCCTTTAAACGAAGGGCACTGCAGATTTGAAAGATATCTGCGTACTATTTGAATCTCCTCGTCATATAAAATTCGTAGTATAGTCACACTAACAACACAAACTGTCTTTCTTTTCAACAATCAACCTAAAAAATACCCATAACGTATAATTATGTATGTACACAACGTTATAAATCATATTCTTCTGTAATTCTGTAAACAGTGTTATTTGTTAGCTCATGTACATTTATAAGCCAAAATGCTGTTACATTGTTAGATCTGTAAATTTCTGTAAATATATTTTTTATGTTTTATTTATATTAAGTAAATTTTTATGTATAAGCCACATGATATGCGTTATTTACAACTACATTGTCCAAAATGTTCAATATTTGGCAATGGCATATTTTGACAACTATGTATATGACCCAATCATCTTTTCTTCCTCGTCTCTTGGTGGAATTTTTAACAATGAGTCCTGGAGATCCAGAAACTCACAAGATTAGCTTTCTTGTCACATTGGCATCAATGTAACAGCATTCCTGCTATCATTCTTCGAGTCACTGTTTATTAGAATATCTGGTCTGTTAAACACTGAGATAACAGGATAGAATATCTTATAGAATCGTTTATCATTGACACACAGTTTGACCAGCTAACTTCCATACCAGTAAACATATCAAACGTGAGTTCTTGAATAATTTTCAACTTGGTTACATTTAAACATCCTTTCTTCATACCATCTTTCAATTCACCGATATTAAACATTCTATACATCAAATTCCTGGCAAATACTTCTGGTGTCTTCGACTTGAATTTGATATCTTTCAGAGAATCCATTGTTATCATCCATGGATCATTAAGTTTGCAGTGATCCATGCCCCATAACGTTAAGCCTATTGGTGTCAAGGAATCGTTTAGGCAACTGTGAAGGTAGTTAGACCAAAACTTAGACATGCTGCCATATGAAAACTACCAGAGATGTAATTTAATGGTAAATTTTATGTAAATAAAGTTCCTGCCTAAACTCTGACGGATTGCCGTTTGATAAAATATCAGACATATAATGTAGCAATTTAAACTGCGTATGCACAACGATTTGAAGTCAATCTGTTCAAAATTTCAAGTTCCTACCTTACATGGTCTGACTGCTACGGCATTTATGTATCAGACCCTCTCCTGAAAGCAATTTTCGAGGGATTTTTCTCTCTTTGTAAATGAGTATTTCATAAAAGTCAAGAATTTCAATGCAAGACCCATCAAACTTTCATATGAAACACATATTATATCTTGGGAGCAAAATTGATATAGTTATGGTCATTTCAAACTGGGGGTAGGCCTGAAACCAGCCTCCTCAGTCTATCTGTACATGTAGGGGGTAAAACCAAACTTTGACAGGCATTGACTGGTATTTACAAGATTTGATCTACACACCTCAAAAAGGTGCAGGAAGAATTTTGATTTTTTACCTTTGTCATCATTCGAGCGAAGCAGCATTTATAGCTGGACCTTGCCAACATCTTTTTTTGATTCTGATATCTGCTTCGGTGGTTATGTGGAAGATTCTGTAAGGCGTTTTAATTATGAGGGAACAGTGGAAATGATTACCATAGTCCAAGATGTGCCGGATCAGAGCACTATCACCATCATGAGCGTCGCCAAATTGGCAAATTGGTATCTTTATAGTGTGAGGAACGGGAAATGTTAAGCTAATCATGCAGTAATAGTGTTCACAGCTCACATTCGAAAGTTGAGCCTTCAAATCCATTGTGTCTAGATTTACACGTCTGAGTGTTAAAATGACGAGTTGTCTTTTCTTGAGACTATGCCATATACAGAAAAGACATCGTAGAAATAGAAAGTGAAATTGCTAATGAGGTTTTTTTTGAAGGAAAAGGGCAATTTTTTATACATTTCTAGTACATCTTAAGACTATTTACATATATTCAACACCGAAAAAGGTGAATCTATCCCTTTAAGTTCAGCAAGGAATGGAATTTATATGTGACATTCGACAACTCTCTGCAGTTTTCGTTAAGCTGAAAAGTGATCGAGGAAGGTTCGCGATCGATTGTTTACTGATAAGTTGCGAAAGAATTAACTTCACTTATTACTTGTCTTTCTTTATGGTTTTGTATCGTCATCAACTCTAATGAACTCTGTTGAAATGTTACAAACAGATTAATGATATAATCCAGTTACTATGGATTAACAATAACAGATTAGTAACTAACAGACAATCATTAGTATATAAGCACTGATATTCAGTATAAAGTCATTACACGATTTATTACAATTCAATAGTAGATCTACTAATATATTCAGTAATTACTATTTTTACCTACCAAACTTTATCAAAATGAGAGAAATTGTTCATATGCAAACTGGCCAGTGTGGTAACCAGATCGGAGCTAAGGTAAGACTACTAAAACCACTACTATTTCCTATTTTGATGTTGTCAATGTCTCTCTTTACGCTGCTCACTGTTTTCATAAACTCATTCGAGTGCAAAAAAGTAGTAAATAAAACTGCATTCAGCCATTAGATGTGTTAAATTCGGCACTGGTGTCACCTCACATTATTTTAAAGATTTGTGTCTTTTGACAAATAAGATCGTTTCTAATTCTTTACTTGACTGTTTCACTTCAGTTCACATTTGTTTTATTTTCTAGTTCTGGGAAGTGATCTCTGATGAACATGGTATTGACCCAACTGGAACTTACCACGGTGATTCTGATCTTCAATTAGAGAGAATCAATGTATATTATAATGAAGCTACTGGTGGTAAATATGTACCAAGAGCTGTTCTTGTCGACTTGGAACCTGGTACCATGGATTCTGTACGCTCTGGTCCATTTGGTCAGATCTTCCGTCCTGATAACTTTGTCTTTGGACAATCTGGCGCCGGTAATAACTGGGCTAAAGGGCATTATACAGAAGGTGCTGAATTGGTGGATTCCGTTCTTGATGTAGTCCGTAAAGAAGCTGAGAGCTGTGATTGTCTGCAAGGATTCCAGTTGACCCATTCTCTTGGTGGTGGTACTGGTTCTGGTATGGGAACTCTACTCATCAGTAAAATCCGTGAAGAATATCCAGATAGAATTATGAATACTTTCTCTGTTTGTCCTTCACCAAAGGTTAGTATACTAAATTATCCTGTTAAAATACAGAATCAAGGTGTCTTGTGGAATCTGATACTATTATATATATATTATTTAATATATATGCGCTAAACGCACAAAAATGACGTTTTCTCTATATCTTTAAATGTGCCTTTTATATTTTACTAAAAGACCACATTGTTTTCACTCTCCACTAACCGATGTGATTTTGATATATTTCAGGTTTCTGATACAGTAGTTGAACCTTATAATGCTACTTTATCAGTACATCAACTAGTAGAAAATACAGATGAAACTTATTGTATTGATAACGAAGCTTTATATGATATCTGTTTCCGTACATTGAAACTGACCACACCAACTTATGGTGATTTGAATCATCTGGTATCAGCTACAATGTCTGGTGTTACAACATGTTTAAGATTTCCTGGTCAACTTAATGCTGATCTTCGTAAATTAGCTGTTAATATGGTACCATTTCCACGTCTTCATTTCTTTATGCCAGGATTCGCTCCATTAACATCACGAGGGTCTCAACAATATAGAGCTCTAACTGTACCAGAACTTACTCAACAAATGTTTGATGCTAAAAATATGATGGCAGCCTGTGATCCTCGTCATGGTCGTTATCTAACGGTAGCTGCTATGTTCAGAGGTCGTATGTCAATGAAGGAGGTTGATGAACAGATGTTGAACGTTCAGAATAAAAATAGCAGTTATTTTGTAGAATGGATCCCTAACAATGTCAAAACAGCTGTTTGTGACATTCCACCAAGAGGTTTGAAGATGTCCGGAACATTTATTGGAAATACAACAGCTATCCAAGAACTATTTAAAAGAATCTCTGAACAGTTTACTGTTATGTTCAGAAGGAAAGCTTTCCTCCATTGGTACACTGGTGAGGGTATGGATGAGATGGAGTTTACTGAAGCTGAATCTAATATGAATGATCTGGTATCTGAATATCAACAGTACCAGGATGCTACCGCTGAAGAAGAAGGAGAATTTGATGAAGAAGAAGGTGAAGCAGATGATGCTTAATATGAATGGTCCTTTAGGTGCTGTTCAATCGTGCTTGCGAATGGCCTGAAATTTAATTACTATTAAAAATGTATAATATATGACGTTTTTATCAAGGCTTTTATAAGATAAATATTTATTATCTAGTTTGTTTGGCTTGTTTTGAATCAAAGTATATGGTATGTCAAAAAACTGTTTGCACCTTGGACGATTTCGCTCTGCGTTTTCGAACCCTCACATACAACCCTGTATGTGGATGTTTCACAGACCAGTATCATTCAAATTATGTAGTATCAATTGACTAGCTAAGCTTTGTTGTCAAAGGAACACTAGTGCTGAGTAGCTTGACTTTCGAATCTCAACGATTTCTATAGTTCCTAATCAATGGCAAAGATTCCATCTCATGTTGGCATACAAGGGAACGAAATTGAGGACGATCTCACAAGGACTAGGACTATCGGAAATTGCAGAAATAAGATATCTAAAAGGGTACCAAATCGACACTTTCATTGATGCTGATATTGAGAGTGATTTTGCACCAGCCCAGTCGACAGATCCGTCGGTCACTCTGAGAAGGATGGACTAGGTATGAAATAACTGATTTAAAACTACGTTCCTGTTGTGAAGTACATTGCGAGCATCTAAGTGAAGCCGGGTAACAGCTGGTCAATAAAATGGCATTATTTTTAGAATCAGGAATGATCACAAATTATGTAGCACATCATTTTTTTTCTCAGAGAGGTAACATTAAAAAGAAAATTTTATCTTTATTCTTTAATCTTTATTTCAGTATATAAGGCCTCCAGCTCATAGAACATAATGTGCAATAACAATAATATATAAATATAAATATATACTTCTTTACAATTATATCAAATTACAAAATACCTATCAAATATATAAAATACCAAATTACAAAATACCTTTCAAATATTTGCAAAAAAAGAAATACCAAATTACAAAATACTTTTCAAATATTTAAATCTAATCCCCATACATTTATAAACATATTCGCCTAATTCACAATAACTTCCGATAGTCATGACTTTTACAAATTGAGAAACATCACTATAAATATTAGAAATCCATGGGAAATAATCTAACCTGATTTGAAGGTATAATGGACATGTAATCACAAAAATTCGATCTAAATATTGCCATCGTCCTGATTCTATTGGAGGCTATGGTTACTACATCTAAATATAGTGAATGCTATATTCTGTGTTTTCTTCATTTAAAATCAATTAGAGAATTTTATCTTTATTTTTGTAATATATTTTTAATATCAAGTTTGTATTTTATTGCACTAGGACAAATAACTATCTCTCTAACGAGCCTGGAGTAATGTTAATTAATCTTTTCACCCGATAATCCTAAACCAGTTGGTTAATCCGTAGCCTAATAGACACCTAAGTCTTTACGAAACCAAATACCAGGGTCTGATTAGTTGCCAACATGCCACGATCCTGTGTAATGTCATCGTGCTTTTAAATCCTTTAAAATGATGATTTTCTATTCTGAAGCACCACTCTTCTTGTCGTAAGCACAGAGTTAAGTGAAACGTGTTGTCAGTGGATTCAATATGTCGAGATCTTCATTTATCGGTAAGTTTCGAATAACTTTCATTAAGTTCCTTCTATTAGTTCTAATCGCAAACACTCAGTAAATGAAATTTATATCCAATGTCATTCAAATTGTTCATATTGACATAATGTACAATTGATAAAGCACAATACTATCGGCAGAACTATGCCAGTTAAATATTTCGAGTCTTTGATAACTAGAGGTTGGTGGATAGTTTGAAGGAAAAAAGCGTCCGGGCGCGATAGCGATAGCATCGATAGAATAGATATCAAGTTATCACATTGCAAATTCATTTCAAATGCAAACTATATCTTCACTTTGTTTCAATGTTGATTAGAAGGCTGAATATATTTCAGGTGGTGCCAAGTTTGCTCTGGTTGCTTTTAAAGATGATCTAAGGACTAATATTTACCCTGTTACTGAGTTGATTGGTCCCAAAATGAAGGTTGCTGGTGCTACAGTGAAAGTATATGACGATGGTTTGTTACAGAAAGGAACTATTGTTATTACAACTGGTAGGTTTGCTTTTATTCATTTGTAAACTATATTGTCCATGGTTCAGTTCCTGATGCCATATCGAATCAGTACATGACCTATGGTCGAAAATTATAGGCACCTTTATCAATATCAAAAGAATAATGTTTTCTATTCATCAAAAACACCTTTTCTAAAAATAAACTGTTTGATCTTAAATTGGAATCCTCTACAGATAACATGAAATGGTTAGTTGATGAAAGTGAGAGGTTAGACGTATCTAGATATTTTGGTCTTTCGAATACTCCTGCAAAGAAATCCACACCATCAAGACGCTTTTCTACCCCAAGGCCTACATCTCCAACAGTTGGTCTGAATAGACATGATTCACCAAGTCCGATAGCACCTAGGAGACACTCCGTATTTGATGACAGGCCAGCTGAGTTGAAAAAAAGAATCTCTCCCTTAACTTTTGAAAATACTAAGGATTCACTAAAATCAAGACGAAGAACGACCATTGGTCTCACATCGTCAACCCCCAATGTTCAGAAGAGCAAGAAGCAAGAAAAGGGTAAGATAACTTGTTCATACTTGACCAATCAATCAAATGGTAGTAGCTTGTGAGTCGAAAGGTTTTTTTTTTTTGACCATATATATTTCATTACATATATACGTCACAAATTTGACTTCTATTTAATGATACGCTGAAATCTATAAGCTACACGTATATATTTTTATATGGTCAATTTCGCGACATAGATGCCACAGTTACCATGTCATTAGCATTGAGATTTTTTATTATGTTATTTTCAGGTAAAGTTGATAAAAGTGGAAACAAAGTTGGAAGTAGATTACCAACTCTCACCAACAAGGTAGGTCTCAATATCATTCTACAGATTCTATTTTAGAAAAATCATGGCATCAGAAATCTTGACACTTTTGCTGTTTCGCCGATCCCGCCTTCCCGTAATGCTATCGGTGTGAAACATGGCATAGATACTTATATGTGTCCTGAATATTCACGACATCAAGTTCTGGATACAGACTATAGGATTATGTGTTACCTCTGATAAATTTATACCTAGGCAACTATATCGTAGGTAGGTTGTAGGTATGTGATCATTTATAAAATTTTTAAGATTAGACTTTGATTAGACTGTTTCTAATGAGCACTATATACGACCATCATTACTATAATAGTTGGTAACATTTTACTTTCAGAAAAAGGCTATTAGTTTTAAATTGGTACAAAAACGTATAACAGATTTCTTCAAAGTGCAAGAAAAACAACTGGTTGAACCTTCTTTCCTGTTCCAAGAGCAGAATATTTCATCTTTCTTAGCTTCATATGATTTCCTATTCCAACAGCCGCGTTCAGTAGCTTTGCCACTTTTCAAAGAAGAACTTTGCTTTACCACAACAACCACCGCAGTCAATCAATCATTTACCTCGTCCTTACCACTTGATATTGATAGTAACGATTCCCTGACACCGATGGAGTTATTTTCAAGAATGTTGTGGAGTATGGAACACTGCAAACTTAATGATCCATGGATGATAACAATGGATTCTCTGAAAGATATCAAATTCCAGTCGAAGACACCAGAAGTATTTGCCAGGAATTTGATGTATAGAATGTTTAATATCGGTGAATTGAAAGATGGTATGAAGAAAGGATGTTTAAATGTAACCAAGTTGAAAATTATTCAAGAACTCACGTTTGATATGTTTACTGGTATGGAAGTTAGCTGGTCAGACTGTGTGTCAATGATAAACGATTCTATAAGATATTCTATCCTGTTATCTCAGTGTTTAACAGACCAAAATGAAGGCATGAATGGTTTTCGCCCTAGTGCCAATCAAGGGAATATCCCTTGTGCTAATCAAGGAAATTGAATCATATTATATTGTGAGTGGCATGATCAACTACCCCTGCGCTCATCAGAATAGTATGGCTCAGTTGTGTATATGTAATATGTGCTAGACTCACCCTGTGTATAACAGTGCGAACTCGAATTATTTTGATTCTATGAAGTTGTTATTTCTGTAATATTTATGCCGTATGTAATGTGGAATAAAATATCAATCTTAGTATTCAGTTATTTATATGACAGTTTGTAATAGCTCGACATTATGAAGATGTGGAGAGTCCTACTTATTACATTTTGGTTATTTAGTAGGAAGTTTGGAGGTGAGCACACATATATAAAAAGATATATAATTTCAATATAAAAGAACTAGATTATTTCCTGTCGAAAAGAGCAATAAAATTATCGATTGCAAATTTACAGCGTAAGTAAAGATTCAACAACCACACAGGATATAACACTGTTTGCTTTTACCTTCATAGTATAGATAATAATTTATAGTCATATTAAGTTATAGTGATAATAAAGTTACAGGACTGGCTAGAATTTTATTACTGAGATCTCTACTAAAACTGCCCTTTACTGAGTGCCAAATATTGAAAATTTCCAACAATGTAAACTGAGAGATTTAATTGATGAACTTCTCTTGAAAACTATATGGTGCTGTTTTGTTACAATATCAATTCAAATGAGATTGTTAGAAGCAAAGTTGTGTGTAATTGCAAAACATCTACATTTTTTTTCAGATTGTCAGCTTGAAATGAAAAGTATATTCTGAATACAAACAATTTAATAAAACATACAAACTATGTTACAGTACTGGTATATCATGTGACTTATCCATAAAAATTTACTTAAAATAAAATATAAAACACTATTTACAGAAAATAATAAATATAATTCTATTTACAGAGAATTACATATATATACAACACAATACATATGTAATGGCAATTTATTAGTACGCAAAATATCTTTAAAATGCAGTGTTATTATATTTTTTAAGACATATAGAAGTAGGAAGGCAAACATAAATAACACAAGATAATAACACATACCGTTTCGAAATGTAGTATGTAATAAACCCAGGAGTAGTATATCCATATATCTTGTGTTATTTATGTTTGCAGTGTTATTAGTTTCAAATTACATGTAGCCATACTGTGACTTTACAGAAAGTGAAAGTCTTAATTTAGGCATCATCTGCTTCACCCTCTTCTTCATCAAATTCTCCTTCTTCTTCAGCGGTAGCATCCTGGTACTGTTGATATTCAGATACCAGATCATTCATATTAGATTCAGCTTCAGTAAACTCCATCTCATCCATACCTTCACCAGTGTACCAATGGAGGAAAGCTTTCCTTCTGAACATAGCAGTAAACTGTTCAGAGATTCTTTTAAATAGTTCTTGGATAGCTGTTGTATTTCCAATAAATGTTCCAGACATCTTCAAACCTCTTGGTGGAATGTCACAAACAGCTGTTTTGACATTGTTAGGAATCCATTCGACAAAATAACTGCTATTTTTATTCTGAACGTTCAACATCTGTTCATCAACTTCTTTCATTGACATACGACCTCTGAACATAGCAGCTACCGTTAGATAACGACCATGACGAGGATCACAGGCTGCCATCATATTTTTAGCATCAAACATTTGTTGAGTAAGTTCTGGTACAGTTAGAGCTCTATATTGTTGAGACCCTCGTGATGTTAATGGAGCGAATCCTGGCATAAAGAAATGAAGACGTGGAAATGGTACCATATTAACAGCTAATTTACGAAGATCAGCATTAAGTTGACCAGGAAATCTTAAACATGTTGTAACACCAGACATTGTAGCTGATACCAGATGATTCAAATCACCATAAGTTGGTGTGGTCAGTTTCAATGTACGGAAACAGATATCATATAAAGCTTCGTTATCAATACAATAAGTTTCATCTGTATTTTCTACTAGTTGATGTACTGATAAAGTAGCATTATAAGGTTCAACTACTGTATCAGAAACCTGAAATATATCAAAATCACATCGGTTAGTGGAGAGTGAAAACAATGTGGTCTTTTAGTAAAATATAAAAGGCACATTTAAAGATATAGAGAAAACGTCATTTTTGTGCGTTTAGCGCATATATATTAAATAATATATATATAATAGTATCAGATTCCACAAGACACCTTGATTCTGTATTTTAACAGGATAATTTAGTATACTAACCTTTGGTGAAGGACAAACAGAGAAAGTATTCATAATTCTATCTGGATATTCTTCACGGATTTTACTGATGAGTAGAGTTCCCATACCAGAACCAGTACCACCACCAAGAGAATGGGTCAACTGGAATCCTTGTAGACAATCACAGCTCTCAGCTTCTTTACGGACTACATCAAGAACGGAATCCACCAATTCAGCACCTTCTGTATAATGCCCTTTAGCCCAGTTATTACCGGCGCCAGATTGTCCAAAGACAAAGTTATCAGGACGGAAGATCTGACCAAATGGACCAGAGCGTACAGAATCCATGGTACCAGGTTCCAGATCGACGAGAACGGCTCTTGGTACATATTTACCACCAGTAGCTTCATTATAATATACATTGATTCTCTCTAATTGAAGATCTGAATCACCGTGGTAAGTTCCAGTTGGGTCAATACCATGTTCATCAGAGATCACTTCCCAGAACTAGAAAATACAACAAATAAAGTAAGTAAAGAATTGAAAACAATCATATTTGTCAAGTGACACAAATCCATAGAAATGTGCTTCTAATGACTGAATACACTTTTACTTAATACTTTTTTGCATCGTAACGAGTTTATGAAAACTGTGAGCGTCGTAAAGAGAGACATTGACAACGTGAAAAAAGGAAATAGTAGTGGTTTTAGTAGTCTTACCTTAGCTCCGATCTGGTTACCACACTGGCCAGTTTGCATATGAACAATTTCTCTCATTTTGATAAAGTTTGGTAGGTAAAAATAGTAATTACTGAATATATTAGTAGATCTACTATGGATTGTAATAAATCATGTAATGACTAAATACTAGAAATAATAGTGCTTATATACTAATGATTGTCTGTTAGTTACTAATCTGTTATTGTTAATCCATAGTAACTGGATTATATCATTAATTTGTTTGTAACATTTCAACAGAGTTCGATAAGTAAGTTTGACAAATGAAATGAAACTCTTCTGTAACTTATCCCGATATTATGCAGACTGTATCCGGCATTTTTCTGCCAGTTTACTATTTCCAAGTTATTCTCGATCTTTCACTCAACAGGTTATGCGTCCCATAGTGAAACTTCCCCTGGAACTATTCTTATGAAAACTGTAGAGAGTTGAGGAATTCCGCAATACATGGACTGAATAATCATGCTAACAAAGTCTTCACTTTTTAATATGTAATGTAAAGGCGGTATTCATTAAAATTAAATACTGAATTTGCATAAAAGATTGATTTCAACAAACATGTGAAAGAGATGACTTCACAACGAGAGATGTAGGACGTAAAACTCCATTCACTTCATTTCATTTCATTTACAATTTGCTATGCACATGAAAGTGAATATGACAGGATGAGCAAAAAACCGTCTAGCATGGTAAATATAACTGTATTTAAAAACAATGGAAAGAATTTCAAAGCATAATCATGTTGCTTACATTTAACACAAACGATTAGAGTAAATATTAGCCAACTATAAACCAATGTTTTGTTCTGTGGTATTATGTGGTTTACACAATGTAGATATAAGTATATAATTCATCTTAAACCCATTGAATATCAATGAATGTTTTAATTAATAAATTGAGGATTCTAATAAAAAAAAATAATGGTATATTGCTTTGAAGAGTAGATTTTAGCTATCTGTAGTATTTCTCATTCCAACCTTAAATACAACTTCCTTCTACACATAATGCCCATATTTTCACATAAATCATTTATGTTTAAAGTAACATGGTCAGCCAAATTTTTTCAGAATTTGAAATTATTTTATGAATAATTCAAAAGAAATTTTGAATCTTCATCCAAATATTTACAGCTTCTTGTATTTTGGGGTTCCAAAAACTTGACACAAATTTTTCTTTGACCAATTTTACACTTAAAGGGTTCAAGTCTTTAATATTCACAAAATAATATCAAATTATACACTACATAGTAGATTCATGTAAATTAAGATTTAGTGACTTGAATTAATCTTATAATGTAAGAAAGAAAGAAAGAAAGAAGTATATTTTACAAGGATAACAACTTAGGTTCACAGTTAAGGATCCTTTCTACCAGCTGGTCCTTGGCCAAACCTTTTGGCATTGATTTTTCCCAGATTATCCAAACCCATTTACAGCTGGGTAGACTGGAATTATGAGTGAAAATCATTTCAAGGTCATCAGACTATCACAAGCCTATCAAGAATTGAACCGAGGCCACCATCTGCTCCACGTAACCATGCAAACAACACCATGTTCATCATGGAACCAACAATCTAACCGACTCTGCTATGGAAGCTCAAACCAAAAACAAACTATAATCAGCTATTTAGAGTTATAAAATATCTTACATTTATTTAAAAAGGTACCAATTTCCATAAAGAACATCAAATATATGTGTAATATAATAATAGTTTTAAGTTCTGTTTTAATATTTCTAATAATAGTCTTTGTGCATAAGATAGATCCATTGAGAAGTCCATTTAGCCATAACAGTTTAACCTTGAATGTCCAGTCTCATATCATAACCTCAATAAGCAGTTGATAAAAAATATGTAATCCACGCTGGTTCAGATTTAAATTCTGGTCTATAAACTTTTTCTAATTAAGGATAAAATAATATGGAAAGCATAGTAAATACATTGAAAATAAAATATAGAAATAATCATAAAATACAAAATGACGCATGACAAATGACAAATAATATAATACAAATAACGTAATGAACGTCAAATTCAAACACAACAATTATGCCTACATGCCTCAAAACAAACTATTTTGAAAGATATTTTTAAAAATCTGTAAAATATTTCATTAGCCATGAGGCAGCAACTCTTTTATATATGTTCAATTAAATATTGAATACTTTTAGAATTTATAACAATCCTTATTAGTAACAATTAACTTATGTTTTGACAACAAAAACTAAAACAACTTAATTCATAACATACAATTACTAGTCCAAGCCAGCATTCCATAAAGCAAAATATTTAACCACATTTTCAAACTCTTTGTCATTGAATAATAATAAGTAACTGAAAGAAATTTGATGAAAACAGTTCTATCAAATCAAACAACTTATGTGGAGAAAATAGCATTGCTAATCTTTTGTAAGTTTTGGAAGGCGTGATTGAGCAACGCTCTTAATGATATTTTTTGTTTTTTAACAAATCTGGAAATTTTTTGTAATTAAATTGACCTTAAGCCTTGTTGTACATACACACAAACACAATTATACAAACATATTATAGCAAGTAATGACAATATTCATACAATGGAATGAAAAATTGTTCAAATATTTAAGAGATATGTGATAAAATAGAAACAGCATCAAATCTTCCCATTTCTTTTAGAGTTGATTTTAATTGAGCAACTGTACCATCATACGTCTATAAAAAATAAAAACAAAATTTTGTAATCCAAATCATTTAGTTAATGTACTCTATAATATCATGACCTAAAAGATCAGCAGCAAAAATGATAAATAATACATTAAATTTTGAATTATATGCAATGCCTATATGACTATATAGTCCACCTACCTGGGACTTGCATCTTTAACAGAGGAAACAAGGTTGAAAATTTAAAATGTTTACTATCTTGACCTAAAACATGATTGAACCCGTGTACCTCGGTTTAGAAAGAATGACATAAATACCAGTGTTTAAATAACTAAATTGAAACAGCATACCTCAAAATAATCCAAAAGAAATCTAGTTGGACTTGTATCAGATGTTTGTATACCTTCTAGAGCATTTTTAAGATGGGAGAACCCAAGTTTATCGGCTAGACTATATATATCTTTACCAGTATAAGTAGGATCTAATAAATTAGACAGCTCTATTCTTCTTCTATAATCTACTTTATCTAAATCTCCCCCTAGAAAACAAGATCAACATATTGATATTGATTTATCATCATCTCCTGTTCGAATTACTGCTAAATCCGTATAAGAAATCTTTTTGAAATGTAAAATTATATTATTATTGTAAGAAGCCAATTAATGTATATGAGTGTGGCAAGTCTTTATCAACCAGAACTGATATTTTTTATGTAAAGGGTTTTGGTAGTCCTTGTGTCAATGTATGCTTGAACATTAAGATACCTTATATTTCAACTAAATAATTGGAATGGTGTGAACGAAGGCCATCAACTCCTTTAGAAAATATGTTACTGTTATTAGCTAGAAATAATAAACCAAAATAGGATCTAAATTACCAAGACCATTTTCAGTGAAAGATTTTACAGGCTTTGTTGATGGGGTAAAATCTCCTCCATCTGTTTCTAAGTCATTATCATCATTAGTTGTTGTGAGATCTCCAAATAATACACGTAAAATCTATAATATATAATATATTATATGCATTATCATCATCAGGAGTACCAACTATTGTCATTGTCGTCTGAATTAGCCCTATCTTACTAAGAGTTACTTCCCTTCCGGTGAGGTAATTTGCCTACTCTTGCTGTCAAATGACAGAAAGTGGTTGAGGGTGTCTGGAAGGGCATTAAACAATAAAGCATGACTGAACTCTTACTCTGAATTTCAGACTATTGGTTAAAATTTCCACTGTAGACTGTATTAAAGCAAGAGTTTAAGCTCAAAGACAAAAATGTATATTTTCAATAGTATATAACAGCCACAAATATTTTAACACTGGTTGAATAATTGAGTAGGTAGAAGTACTTGGACAATACCTGTTCATTATCTTTAACATAATCTGATGGTTTCATTCCTCTTTTTTCTCTGCTACTATCAGATTGTGGACCATCACCACTTTCAGAATCATAACCTTCATCATAAGCTTCTTCATTCTCTATATCTTTATCAGCACCAGCTGTGATCAATAATGCCACCATACCAACCAAGTTACGACCACACGCAATGTGTAACGGTGTATTACCATCAAAACACTGAGCATTTACGTCAGTTTCAGCCTAGAATGGATGAAATAACTATCAAGTAATTCTTTTGAATTCAATGCCAACAAATTCTAAGGACCTTTGTGATAGTGACGTCATGGAAGACTCAGATGTAATGGTATTGCAAGAACAAGAATCACATAAGAAGTTCAGAAAACCTCTTTACAATCCCTTTTATGCTAACTTACCTCCATAAGCAAATAACTAGCTACAGATAGATCATCACTCTCTACAGCATGATGTAATGGTGTTCTTCCACTTTTACCATCAGGTAAATCTAAACAGGCTTTACCTTTATATAACAATCTTAATATTTCTACATTACCATTCTGAGCAGCAATGTGGGCAGGACAAAATCCTAGAATAAAATATCAACATAACCATCTAAAACTCTCTACTCTTCCATACTATCTGATTTTCTGAACGCAAAATTTGGGGATTCTCCAACCCAGATATGGTTCCAAAGTCAATGAGTTATAAAAACTAATAAAACATGATAGATGGGAGCTGAAATGAGCAAAAACCCACAACTGACCATGTACAATATTCTTCTTACCTCCGTAATTCATATAGTTAAGTTCTGGGAATGGAGATGTGGCTTTAACACCTGGTCGTAGATATTTTAACAATGATTTTAAACATGGTATATTGTTACATTGTACAGCTAAATTAGCAGCTGTATTACCATATCTATCCATAATACCTGGATCTGCACCATAATGTAATAATAATTCTATAGCAGATGGCTGTTTAGTTAATACAGCTAAATGAAGAGGTGTCTGCAATACACAAAGGAAATATTTCAATCAGTTTCAATCAGAATGAGATTTATGGGACTAATTATGCATGTAGAAGCCATCAATGGACCCGATACACATAGAAAAAGCCAAAAAAACTCTCTACAATCCCTTTAAGAAATTAGAGTTGTTTCTTACCTGTCTGAGATAGTTAAATGAATTGACTTTATGATTACAGTTTGGTAATGTAGACATGACACCAAGAAAACTTTGTAAGGCTGGTAGCTGGTCATTTATAACAGCTAAATGTATTGGTCTAGAAAAATAAGTTATAAAATCATTGACTCTGAAATATGAAATCTGGAAAATTAAGTGAAAGAAAGAAGAACTATATTAACAAAGGACAACAATAAAGGATCCTTTTTACCAGTTGGTCCTTTAAATTAAACTAAAAAAATGCTTGAATTAGGACTGATAGAGAATAAGTGTTGCCAACTCATACATAGAAAAGAAGCAGAAGAGTTATAATGCAATTCACATTTTTCAAACATATTCTTCTCTCTGATATCTGTAAAAACAACTTACAAATCTCCATTTTTATTTTGAACAGAAGCTAGATGTCTTTGAACTAATAATAAATATCTGATGTCACTAGTTTCAGCATAATCCTGCATGGCTGTTAATGTTCTTTCTATTATCTTGATGGACTCTTGTTTAGAAGTATCAGTAGATTTACTAATCTTGTCTGAAATAAAAAGAAAATGAATGTGTACAAATAAACATGAAAATCCACATTATCATGGCAAATTGCAAAATCTATGTCACTATTTGTACTAAAAACAAAAATGAAAATGAAAACCAAAAAGCAATTAAGCTGAAGTTCTTTAAAGTGATTAAATTATGACTGAAAAAATCATATATGGTGAAATTGTCTTGTAATATACTCTCTATTAAGCAATCAACATTCACTCTCAATCTTTTGGGATTTTTTTTGTATTAATTTTTTGAAAATCTGAACTTTTCAGTAGTTTATTTTTTTTTTTAAGCTGACCTGTTGTCACTTTTTGTTGAACTTGTTGTGGTCTATCTTCTGCTTTCCTAGGTTGATCTACCTTCCTAGTCTGCTCTACTTTCCTAGGTTGCTCCATTTTCTTAGATTGAGTTTCCGATGTAATACTATCAACCCTCTCTCCACCACTAGCACTACGACTTAATAATGCTTCTTTAGGTCTATAATCAATACATCGTGCTGCTTTCATATCAAACACATGTTCATTGACCTTCATACTACTAAATCTACCATCAACCTCATCCAATGAGAGATTAGTTGAGTAGATAGAATCTGTAGGTACTATAGGTTCACTATCCGTCTCGAGATTAGTAAATAACATGGGATCTGTAGATAAACCGGTATAATAGGGTGATGAAAATGATGAGTGTGAATTACTAATGTCTTTATCTTGTGTTACAGCTGAAAGAAAATAAACGGAAAGATTTGTTTTAAGTCTTTTATTTTTGAGCTTTTACACCTGATGGAAGTGAACAACTCTGATGTCATTGTTAATTAAATATATGAATGTGATTTGCAAATCAAAGAGGGCTTCATTTCAAGGTCTCCCCATTGAAACATGTCACTTTCATGGGCATAACCATACTGAACAATACGTTACCAATATCTGTTCAAGAAAGTATTGTACATCCTGCAATTGTTATTTGTAAAATCAATTTGTCTTTGTAATGTGATAATCTGAAACACCTTGCAAAGTGACTGTAATCAATGTTTGTAATCACTAATTACTGTTTGTAATCACTAATTACTGTTTGTAATCACTAATTACTGATTGTAAATCACTAATCACTGTTTGTAATCACATTTTCATAATAAATACAGTAAAATATTTAACTACTTTCAAACCAAAGAAATATAATTTTTGAAACTAACCCTGTACTACCATTGTGGGTAAAGCTGAATTATTCATAATATCTAGAAAATATAATGTTAAAGGGTCAAAGGAATAATTTTAAAAGCAGGTCAGATCCTTTATTTTGCTACCAAAAAAAAGATTTTAATGTTGATTTTTCTTTTCTTTCTGAAAGTCTGAGTTTGTATGATGTAGGTGACTTCAGAAATGAAATAATATAGATCTTGAGAAGGTGAGAGTTTGATTCTCTCAAATGTACAGGCCTAGGATGGAATAAATACTTCATTTAGAAATTTGAACAAGCAGTATGGAACCACTGAGCATTTTTTACAATACATTTCCACTTAATAAATACATCCATGAAACCTTTTTTTACAAAAATCAAGTTGCAACTTTGAAATTCACACTCCTCAATAAAACAGGTTGTTTAATCTAATCTATCAATCACTTACTTCCATTTGGGAAAATAACTCTAGATCCAAAATCATCACCATTATTGCCACCATAGCCACCATCAGCACCTCCAAGAGAGCCATCATAATTAGAAAAATCTCCATAATCTAATGGTATTTTCTTACGTTTCTTTTTCTTTATTTCGTCTTTATCTGTAATATTGTATAGTTCATATACATTACTAGAAATATATATACCAGATAATAATTATAATACAGGTGAATTCAAATACCTTAAATAAACATTATTGGTTGCATTGACTCTCTGATAGTATGCTGACTGAATTAACCAACTCAGGTGTTTCGAATGATATAAAGAGATTAATTTGGATTCATGCACTGATCTAGATTTGTTTGTACAATGTAAATTATACGATGCCTTACTTGTCTACATAACAATTCTTTAAGGGATTTGAGGGCATTATACACTCTGCTACTATACGCCTTACCTAGATTTTGTGGATAATATGTAAATGATTTAGGATCACTAGTTTCACCATCTGATTTTCGTTGTAAAACAATAAATACATTTACAGCTTTCTCAATATTAGTATTAAAATAGGATGGAGTACGAAATACTATAGCAAACTGAAACAAAGAATAATATATATATTTTGTAATTAAAAACAGATTCTGAATCACTAATGACTATAGTAAGTACTATTATACCAATCAAATACTTTTTTTTATGAACATTGGTTGTACTCACTATTTAATACAACTTGAAAGGTTACCATAAAATGATAAATTGAAATGATTTGATCTCAAAGGAGCTCTGGTCAAAAAAAAAAACCAAATGTCTAGCTACTTTTTACTAATAACGAGGAACAGATGCTTGATTTTGGGGAGTTGATTTAAGTCTTGAATATATGTCTTCAGAAGTACTAGGAATGTACGAAAATTGCTCAATCCATTCAAAAATATCTCAAACTAAGAATTTCTAAATGAGTGTAGAATATTTGACCCTTATCTTAATTTTTCAGTATTGAGCAAAAAAAACTACTGTAATTTATCATTCATATTCATACTTGTCATGTTGACTTCAATCACAATAAGCTGGATATGTTAAACAATTACACAAAAGATTCTTACCTGTCTGTGAACATCTAATGGACCAAAATTTCCAAAACTTTCCCATTTGATCTCTCCATTTTGACTGTCTAGCTCAAAAAACTTGACAGCTATATCTTCTACAATAACAAAATTAAAGCAATGTCAACTAGACATATATCAAATGAACCAGACATATATGAAACCCATAGAGATATATATATTGTTTTATATATGCTATCATACAATTGTCTTCAACTATTGGTTATTAGTAATGTAAATTCATTAAAACAATGGAATATATAAGTCGAGCGGTCTGAACAATTGCTCTCAGAGCAGTCAAGGAACAAAGCATTTAATTATCCGAGACATTTTTTCAAATAATTAAATTCAGTCTTGAATTCTGAAAATGTATGAACCTTTTCCTTGTCTGCCCATCTGCTGATAATCAATTTTCTTTCAATATTTGCAGTTCAATATATAACATTATAACAGTCTGTAATTATACCTTTTTGAACTTTTTCACACAGCAAAAACACTTCCTCATTTCCTGTACAACATCCACCATATTTATCCATTCTACATATCTTTAATGTTGATGCACCAGGAGATTCTAAAATATCATAAAAATCATTAAAAACGTTTTTGCTACACTTTCCCTGTCATTTTGTTTCTGGGAACATATTAATTTTTGCTATCCAAATGCCAAAAGATGACCAAATATTGAACAAAATACATATTTCACGAAGAATGCCATATACTGTTTACAACTTGACACCTTTTTTACACCTAAACTGAGAATGGAACCAAAGAGAGCCATTGTTTGATGTAAATTGGCTATTAACTCTCGAAACACTTTAACTGACTGAACTACAGTCTGTCTTCATTTTCTAATATCACAATGACTGAATTTCAATGATACAAACATACAAAATTTACTTACTACTATCATGTATTGAATTAGAATAAACGGGAGGTAGAGCTATAATACATTGTTGTGTTTCAGAATCTTGAACATAAACTTGAAAACATAATTTAACATTATTTAATTGTGTTGATTTAGCTTGTTCACTGGCTAGTCTATTAATATCTGCTTCTTCATCATCTGTAAAATATTAAATATCTTTATAACATATTGGGTTAACACACACCCATACTACAAGAATTTCAATTTCAATATCCCCCTGCCCCCCACCACCCCTTAATGTTGGAAGTTGCAGGGCTGACATGGAAAAAGGGTCTAGTTGTTAGGATTGGATCTTGGCTTTTATAAACCACTTGTTCATTCTAAAAAGAACTTAAGCACCAGATTATGCATTTATTATAATAGTAACACTAGCATTATTGGTGTGTCACCGCAATTGATCATGTGACAAACTGATTAAATGGCGAAGTTTGGGCAACTGGTTCATCGAAGAGAGTGATGGTAAAAATATAAATATAACATTTTATTGACTGCTAATGAAAACTAAAATCAAGAAGAGTTTTAGCACAAATTCAAAACTATTTCTACATATATCTTACTTGATAAAGAGACAATGGCATTAAGATTTCTCAGAAAGATCTTCTTATCTCTTAAAAGTTTATTCTTAATTCTTTTCTGTAATACTTCTACAGCCTTCTTTTTAGTTACATGTTGAACAGACATATTCTGAAAACTAAAAATATATGGTACTTCTTAGTCCTTGATGACATCATTTGTTAATATTTTTTTTTATATTATCAAAGAAAATGAAATTCTGTAAAATCATAACACGAAGAGTGAGCAAGGATTAATGCAAATAAACAATCAACAAAAAGATATGTGATTGATTAAATGTCTGACAATATCATACCCATTAAAACATCCAACAGTCACTTTTTTAGCTAGACTTTCTCCAAGAAGTCTAAATTATCCAACATGTAGAAATCATTTGACAATGAAACTCTTTTAAAAAAATAAATATAATTAAAACAGAATTGAGCTTACTGAATAGGTCCATAGGTTTCTTTAACTTCCATAACACATATACCATCTTCACAGTTTTTACCCACTAGTTTGTGAGGATGATTTTTATCATTATCAACATTAACTAAAGACACCTCAATTCGTGCTGGGCCATCATAATTTTCAATCTAAAAAAAAAGGAATCATTCTAAATTAGCAAATTCATCAGATTCAGAAATATCTCAAGGTGGACATGAGACATGAATTAAACAACATGGAGAAGGTGTTTCCCAATTTCTATTGCATTGGAAAACATTTTCTGATCTCAATTGTGCTTAAACACAGACAATGTAAGTGGGCACAAAAACTGACCACATTGACCCCATTTCAGGTCACATACATCATCTGGTACCCATCGGTCATAGATATTGTTCATCTGTTAGGAATGTTGAATACTTTTCCCCCAGAAGGGAAAAATGGTGCTGTACCACCTATTTGTAATCCTACCTTAATTGAAGGGTAAGTTTTTCTCCCTCTTTCACTAGAAGTGCCCTGTAAACCTCCATGTGATGGTCCCTCACACTCATAGCGAAATCTAAATCCTCGAGACTGTGGTTCCTCTATTATAGCAACTTGTGGAAATGGATACATATCTGCTCCCTGGGTGTTATTCACTGAATTAACAATTTATATCAGTAAAAATCAAACTTAAAGCTTATTTTACATCCACCATTACTGCACCAAGTGCATAGACATACAACAAGTAATTTTTTTAATGTAAGTAGAAAGAAAAAGAAATAACTCTTATTCTTAAAAGGTTGACAAGCTAGGTTTTCAAATATTACAGTCGTCAAACCTCTTGGTTATAATCATTCACTGATCCGTTCTCATTTACAATTGTGGAAATTGAAATAATTACCAATATGGCTAATTCAAGGTCACAAGAATTCACAAATTGAAACTTTTTAAAACAATGCACACATGGTGTGAAATGAAGATGTGTAAAATAGATATGTAGGAATAACTTGATTAAAGTCTCAAAATTGAGGCAAAAGGCTAAAATCGTAGTGACCAATGACAGTCACTTGAAATAGACTTACCGGTACCAATTTGTTGGCTGCCATTTACATTAACAGTTGTCATTCTACTATGATCCATAATTGGCATTTCTATTGAATCATTGGAGTCATTAGATGACATTGTTATATCCATGGCACTGAAATGAATAAAGCATTTCCATTAGCCTAAGACATAATTTCCTATTTGCATCATTAGATGTTACACAAAATCACTGGTCAAGAACAATGGACACTTTTAACTTATCATTGCCTTATTGGAAAGGGTTCAAAGGTAAGCAAGTTAAAGCACATGCACACCCATGCATAAAGCTCATTTTAAGTCTATAATAGCCCATTACTGCATTGAAAGAGTTCCAAGAATCTGAAAGTCAGGATATCTTGACATTAGGCTAAGGTGAGTAGTTTAAGCCTTTGTTTGGGGTGTCTTTCTGGTTTCTCAAGTTATGATCTCTGTTAATTAATCAGATGGACCTTGATATTAGACCAGGACCAAAACTCTTCGAATTGAGAGTGATACTAGCGGAAAATATTAAATGGCTTGTTGGCAGGCGAGGGTCATACTTTCTCGGACTAACTATCGGGAGTTTGATTTGATCAATGAATTTATAAATACTCAAAAAGTTGGCTCTAATTCTGTGTAGGCTTTCAGTAACTAGCCTGATTACCTGCTTTATGTGGAGTGAATGAAAACACTGTCAGTCTTTACATCTTACTGGGTACAGTAAACAATAAATTTTTCCACTTACTTTATAATTCATTTCCTGATAATGGGGAAGTCTTTTCTGGGAATCCCCACTAATAGATGATTGGTCAAATCTGATCACGTGGTGGTCATTTCTGAATTTCCATTAGTAGGAAAATTTATAAGTTATTTTTAGATTCTAGGGCCTCGTACCATTATTACCTCTATGTTTTGTACTGCGAAGGGAGATAACCGACATCCATGTTATCAGAACACACTTAAATTATATCCTCGTAAACTAGAACACGAGCATTGGCAAGTCAGTTATCAAAACTCAATGTTGGTCGGTTAAAGTTTTAAAATGCAAAGGTGATTCCCTTAAACAGGTCGGATAGTCATAATAAAAGATAAAATAAAGTTATAGCCCAATCTCCCTTCTTTTGATTGAATTAGGCCAAATTTCGTATTATATACAATCCGAGAGCTCGAGCCAGACTGAAAATTTTAGAAGACATCATTTCTCGTTTATGATACTTTCAAACTAATTTCAACATTTTAATCCAAATCAAATCAAATACATTGTGGAAAGTGGAAGTGGAAAGTAAAATGAGATTTAAAATTCTGGAATTGAAGAATTTGGAATGATTGTTGTCATATCCACCAGATGGGGCTTTTAATGCAGAAGAGTCTGAGCAATATATTGAAATATATGGCTCTGAGAAGTGATATCTGGCGAGCACCGGAGGAAGTAACACAGCTGGCTGGCTTAAAAAATGGTTGGCGGTGGTTGGCGTCTTAGCAGCAGATTTTCGGCGGCTCACAGTTCTACTGGATGTAGGTAAGTTGGACAGTAACATTCACCGAAAATATGGTCACAGTAATACGGACACAAGGTATTATGGTCACAGTAATACAAGTACAAGATAGGGTGGTCATAGTTATACGGGAACATGGTATTTTGGTCACAGTAAGACGAGCACACGGTATTTTGGTCACAGTAATATGGGCACACGGTAATTTGTAAATGAAAATGAAATGAAATGAATGGAGTTTTACGTCCTACTCTTCTGTACCTTGTGGGCTAATGAAGACGGGCAACGCCATGCAGGGTGCCATGAGGGAAATTTTGCCAGGACAGCGGCATTAGCCTGCTATTTTTCGATTTCCAACTGTCGAGGGATCTTTAACGTGCACAGCCTATAGCACACGGGGCTTCGGTTTATTGTCCCATCCGAACGACTAGACGCTTTTACCATGTCAGCCCCTCTTACCTGCATCACTGACAGGGGGAAACCGGGTTGAAAAATCCGAAGGTATTATCTCGACTTATGCCGGGATTGAACCCTGGACCTTCAGGTTAGCGAGCAAGCGTCTAACTCACTGAGCCACTGCGGCTCCCACACACGGTAATTTGGTCAAGGAAACATCAGGTAAGGGTGCCGAGAAGGAACCAAAAAACTTTCCAGGGTGGGGTGAGGTGGGGGAGGATAGTCTATTCTTTTACTATATAAAATGATAAAAAACTTGAAATTGGTTGGGGGAGGGTAAGGGGTCATCCCGTAGTTACACCACTGTACAAGGGATATATACCAGTCCCAGTTTTATTCGCCACTATATGTACTTCTAAAGAATTTTCTAATCAACCAGGGAAGAAAACTATTTATTGAAAGCATATTTGTCCAGTTGCTTTCAAAACCCATTATCAAATGCTGACATTAAGACTCTATTTCAGTCCCTGATTGCTATTTTGAAAGTTGTTCGCTTGTGTAGGGACAGAAAAACCATGCCTTGTTTTATGGAGAATTTTCCACATCTTCGAAAAAGGGGGTGGGGGGATTTACAATCACCGTAAAGGCAAGAACAACTTATCTTGGAAGCTGTTGAAAATGTCCATAAGACAGAGCCTAGTTTTTATGACTCTACTCCAGCCGATAACTGTCAATATATTTATCAGAAGCTGGAATACAGGCAGATGTTTCGGAATACACGACAAGTAGTATTCCACTATTTCAATATTCCACCACAGACATCGCCACGACGTAGACCTAGACATAAGATAAGAGAACAACGACTTTGTAGGACAAAATGAGTTTCAACATCCAAAAAAATGAAAACTATAAGTTTTGAATGCATTACATTTTAATTATTTTTTAAAACAAGATGTACATGATATAGATTTTGCTGTTCCATTTAAAGGAGAAAGTGTTTATGTTTACTTGGGATCGCACTTCATACACAACACAGCTGACAATGTCTTTCTGGACAAGATACACGGATACGGATACACGAATAGTACAATCGCAATTTTCTGATTAGAATTTTCTTATGTTTCAATCCGTAACCGCGTAATTATGACTTAATGTTAAACACCAAGGTTTGAATTTCAAATCCAATTTCACTCTTGGTGCAGTTTCCCTTTTTAATTTATGCACCGCATAGCTGTTGGTTTGTTACAATAAATACACCAATATCCGTTCCAGTGTTTTGCCACCAACTTAACAGACATACACAAGGGATAGTTTCCATTAATTGTTTTTCTCACATTTCGAGAGAAGATGATGGTCACCTTGTAAAACTCGGACTATGAGAGCGAGTTAATACCACGAGCCCTGTATTGGCACTGCCGTTAGTCCAGGGTTCGTGACGATGATTTAGTGCCAGTAAAGATTTTCCAACTAGTTTATCGTCTGATTTGATATAACATACATCCTGAACATTTCCAGATAACTTCCATCTCTTACCACTTGGTCTAAACAATATTGTCTTTTTCCAACATGGACACAGTTTTAATATAATCGATCTCAGGTCAGCCTGAAATAATAAAATTTCTCTTATAATAGGTAATTCTACAATAGCGGCAATAAGAGAGAATCTAAAAGACGTTATAACGGTTTCTCTTGATAATGCTTTTCATCTGTATTTATTAGTCCTGCAATGGTGTCTACCACATTAAAAGGGATTTATGTCGCTATTAAAAGCAGAAATAAAAATATAATGTGTTATGGTTGAAAACAAAAAGAGGTATAATTTGCAATGCCACAGTAATGAACAATACAGAACTATAAATAACTAAATAAATAAATAAATATCGAAAACCTCCATAAGTGCAAAGAAGTAAAAATTCTAATTTGATTATTTCTATAGGAGGTCGGGGTTGGCTACAATTTTTTAAAAGTCAAGTCCCGGGAGTCAAAATGGATCTCGTATACACTCGATAAGACAATTACATATGCATATGCCAGTGATTAAAGGGATTGTAAAGAGGTTTTCTAAATTTTGTAGGTGTCTTGGGGATATTATCAATTTGCACCATTCCAATTTTCAACCAATCAACTGCTATATCAGTTTCCCTGCTGCACATACAAAATTTAGAAACGTCTTAACGAGGTATTCAATATGGTCCTTTTACCAATCTGAGCTGCTAGTATCAGCGGATACAATAGGAGTATTCGAGTAACTCCCTGTAGATAATTTTCAATAGGCTAGTATCAATAATTCAAAAGTTGCGTGTATTGACGAGCCTTCATTGATCGTTTTGGTTCATTACATTCCCAGAGAAGGGATAACTTGTTGGTGATACGAGGAACCCCAAAAGATTGGGACAAAAGCAATAAGGGATATACCTACCCTGAAACTTTCATTCATAAAACCATAAATAACTGGATTGACAAAGCTATTTGACATAGCTAACCAATGGCTACCAAAATATATTTTTTCTTGTACATTATAATTAGTAATTAAAGTTGGATTGAAGTCTAATATTAACATAAAGGTATGTAATGGTAACCAACATAATCCAAACAATAAAACTATTGTCACCAACATCTTTACAACCTGAAAAATTTAAGAAAAATAAATTTGATTGAATATAAGATTAAATGGGGCAGTATCTATAAAGAGCTTCAGGAAATTGAATGCAGATCCCTTACGCCGGTCTGTCACTTGCTCATAAACTCTCTTTGGAGGCACAGTCTTTGGAATCTGGTGGAATTTTTAAGGTCCACAAACTGTAGGTACTCGGAATGAGCGACATAATCTAACTTTAAACCTTATATTGTTCGACACTTTTTATATTTCTATTACAGTATATTCCACTTTTTAAAAAAGATTTTCAACTATTTAACAACTAATAATTCTTTATTCTTTGAATTTGACACAACTAATATATTATATCATATCGAGAGTATAGTTTAATTACTGTTGTTCTTCGAATAGTCTCATACTTCCCGACCGAAGTGGTTGGAAAAATAACTTAATGGAATGGATTTTTATCAGTGAAGACCAACACTATATAAAATCTAAAGAGATCTGAAAAATCTAAAATAAAAATCTGTACAAGCAATACAATTCCGATAATCAATATCCGATATCTTCGCAAGCATGCCAAAATCGAGAGTAAAAATTGTAGAGTCGTGGACTCCTCCAAAGTAGGTTTTCGCATTGTTTCTGTACTTTTCAATTTTTTACAGTTCTCACGACTATCAATAGAAAAATATTTTTATAAGGTCGTTTACATATTTACTTAAAACCTGAAAGGACCTTTTTTCAAGCTATTAACACCACTTTTCAGGAAGAAAATAACTCACTGAAGCTTTAACCAGTTGTGAATTCAACGTGGGCTATCTGAATCGTGGACGTATCAGAATAAAAATAATTCCCTTAATGTAAGCTTTGCAATTGGAATGTCCTTCGTACCGAGACAGATTACTGGATTTGATATAGTAAAGTAATAATTAGTCATTTTTTTACAAGAATTTTCCAGACTGCGTATTGTGCCTAATAATTAAAAAGATCATTGCATTGTACTTCTACTTATATGTATGCTCTGAATTTGGCCCGCAGTAAGATAAAATCTCCCACAACCTTTTATAAATAACAGAATGTCTTATTGTAACACTTTGGAATCTTATTGATAAAAGAATTACATTGAAATACTGTCTAAAAATAGTCTCACAGGCTTTACATTTCCTAATGCTCTTATAATCCATAAAAGCAAATGGACAGCTGAAGTATTAAACTTTTACCTTAATCGGTAAGATGTTTCTACAAAAAAGGTAAAAAAAATTTCTCAATGCCTTCCAAACAACCATTCCTTTGTATTAAAGATAAAGCCGAATTGCAAGAAGAATTATTGTTGAATAGATATAATACAAAAGTCTTTTTTTTTTTATTAAACTCTAACCATTAAGACATCTTTTTGGTTTTGGATGCCAGAAATGTTCTGGTTACCATAATGTATTCACACTGTTCGTTAGAAAATGTCAATGAAGTAAAAGCAGGCCCATACACCAACAAGTTTGCTTTGACTAAAATCGAATCTTTTGAAGGTGGACCTTGTAACTGGTAGAAACCTGCAGCAACTGATGTTTCTGCTAAAAACAGCTGTTTGAAATCGACCGAATAATGTTGATACAATTTGTTTCTCGGCTCTTGTTCTAGTGTCATGCAAAAAATTGATTTGATTGTCGAGTGAGTAGTTGGTTAGCCTGACGTACCGAATTTTTCTAGACAGAACCGGTCGTGTTGATAATTACGCCCACCACATCTACCATTGCTCATCTCTTATACTAAATTTTATTATGTAATATTATATGTATAATTCTAGTATGTGTCTAACCTTGCATCTATTTTAATGGATCTTGGTATTTCGCAATTTCAGTGTGTAATAATACCATCTCGAGTGTTTTTCTGAAGACATGATACCAATTTCTAGCTGATATTTTGTCAAGTTTCGTGCCATCTTTTCACTTCATCTGTCACAAAGTGAAAGCTAATTGTGGTTAAATAACAATGTAAATGTCTCGTGCGGCATTATTTTTCAAAGATGATACTCCTTTACGTCGATTTGACGTCATTTTGAAAATGGAATCGAATCCCCCGTATATTTCCTCCTATCCCCCGTGTAAACAGATTCGCCCACTACCATTTGTTCGTTTATTAGTCTTTCTTAAAAATTCAGTTGGACTCGACTTACAACAATTCATAACCAAATTATTATAACCTCAAAATTGCATAACAGTAATTATGCATTGTGCCTTATGCACTAGCCTTATTGCACATAAAATGATGTCAATCAAAATCTTAGTATTAGTGACGACATTAAAGTGATATTGAATCGAAAGCGTACTATTAGTGAAGAAGCAAATGTAAGCGTCAATGTGATGGTTGTTTTATCATCTTTGGTCATGCTATAAGTGCCATATGCGCAAAAACATAGGCTCTATATTTGCAGCTGATTATTGTAACATAAAATCTTTCGCCGTAGAAGGTCTTTAAAGAGTTAATCGCCTGCATTAAGGCAGTTCAGTCTTTCTTAATGGAAGTTTGTTTCGATAAAGGTAAATTTTCCTCTGCAATTGATTGTATTGATTACACGTTATTAGGTGTTACATGGAAATGTTTTAATATATCATGACCCAATGTAACATGCAACTTGAGATCAATTCGAAATTAAATTTCCATGTGCAATCGATGAAACAGGTAAAAAAAATGTTAAATAAGTCGAGAATGTGATTGATCATTGCTACTGTCATTTCATTACGCCACTATTCGATTATAATTAATCATTTGGAAACAATTAGATAGAAGTGAACATATTATACTTTACACTATACCATGCTGAAAACAACTCTTCGGTTGAAAACAATCCATCAAAGTTAATGGGTATAATTTCAGTACAAGAGTTCCCACTAGGTTGGCGTTAAATCCCAACCTCCCAAACAGCTAAACCGGAAGATAAGGATATTGAGCTGTTATTACATCATGCATCCGAACGAAATTAATTGAATTTTGCTGAAAATTTAGCATGAACAAAGGAATCTTCAGAAAAAATGGTCTTTCTCTTAATTTCCTTCATATCAAGTTCATTATCATTCTGATTATTAATGAAATTACGTTCGAGTCAGTAGTAATTATTTCTCCAAGACACATTCCTGCCACCTTCTCCTGGGAATCCGCTGTTGTAATCTTAAATCGCGGGTTATAAGATATTCATTGATAAATATTCGTGCTAAGAATAAATAACACTATTAACTATAGGTTTATTAGTACAAGTACTATAATTTTATTGGTATCCAACACATTTATATATATCAAATTGTTCCGGTGCGTGGATTTTAATCAAGATAATTGGAACAAGTATACTTATCATTGGTGTCGACATAATAATTAATATATTTCATTACTAAGGTAATTAAAGATAGGTCAACATAGATACAATCATCTGATCATTGATGGGATCATATAAGATTTAGAACTTGATAGTGCCACGAAATGCCCCACTCCTTCAAATGAAAAGCAACAAGACAACTTTAATAGGTCCAAAAATCGATTGGTACCACGCTTACCTTGGTGCAATTCTATAAACCAAAAATGAAATACAGCCTGTCAATTATTATATACAGTGGAATGACCATGAGCACTGTAAACTGTAAATCAAAAAAACTGTTCAATGATCAAGAAATATACAGGCAACAAACGTGCTTGAGTAAAAATAAACTACATATTGAAATAATCCTTTTGCATTGAGTCTTGAGCTCTAAATCGACAAACATATGTTGGCGCATAAAAATTGTGTATTCGACCCATTCCTGTTTTAAGGAAAAATTCGAGCACTCTTTTGCTTGCTTACAGTTTTCCTCATATAATCATGTAAATCATAATAAAAAACCTCAGAATTATCATGACAATAAAGTTAGCTTAATTTCTGTGTGCAATGACACGTTGAGAATCTCGCAACGATTTCAAGACCGTTATTCTCCTGATTTAGGAAAGTGTGTTAACAGTACCGTTTAATTTGCTGACCCAGTTGAGAATTGTGGAATGAATTTATATGAAGAAGAATTATCTTATAAATGAAATAAATACAGACATACACAGACAGTAATTGTTCTTTATTTCCCTGAGGTTCAATGATAACATCTCCTTCAAATTAATTCTATAAATAATACAAATTATCCACAAATCACTCAATTTGATAAATAACTTTCCAGGCTGGATCAAATCGTTTCTTACAGTCTACTTCCAATTTATATCTCTAGTTTTTATAATTTCGCTTCTTATATACAAATACTCTTAATTAACACTACACGACTAAAACAGTATTTCATTACAATTCATAAACAATAATACGCCACATAGAACATGAATTCAACTATTTAATTATATTATTCATATTTCAGTTTTAGTATTTCGATATACATGACTATGTATCATAAAAAACTCATTAACAAATAATTATTAGGTCACTACAAACAAAGAATAAGTATAATTTAACTTCGACAATTTTTATATTCAAATAAACAAAATTTGTGTGACATCTGTTATTTTTGAAATAATGTTACATGATGATACCGTTATGCATCATGTCAATCAAGTTCGCAAATGTACACACTCATCATAAACAAATGGGGAATATATACAGTCTACAATAACGTTGTAAAGTCCGTGTACCAAATTGATACGCTCGAAAACCCCCATTGCAGCCAGTAAATGAGATTTATAAGGAATATCGACATTTAAATTTGAATCAGCAAGTAATTGTGATTGACAATTTGATATGAAGTCGGACGTGAATTTTCGACGCCATATTGGAACGTAAAATTTATTGACGCCCCCACCAATCGATCTTTTATTGCGTGGAAAATCGATTTATCGATTTGTTATGCAATCGATTATTTTTTTATGAAGCTTTCTAGAATAAACGGCAAATGATAGAGCATTTCTGTTTTGACCAAACATCTTAAAGTGTTCTGGAATCAAAAATGAATATTATTATCTAACATGACGTAAGTGACATGTTGCATAATGTGCAAAAATTGACTTGTAGGCTGCAGAGCCTATTTGTGGACCGATTTTATGTTCTTTGTATCGGATACAATTGACAAAAAATTAAAATTTTCAAAATTTTAAAGAACAAAAAGATTGCGTGACAAATTGGGAATCTTTCTTCTTAAAATTACAGGATATAGACAGAATGCCAATACAAATAAAACTGCGTTTTGGGCGTGAGAACTTCCGATTTCTCAAAATCAGCTTGGGCGACCCTGCTTCACATATGTAGACAGAAACATACAGATTATCTATTATTAATAATTTGAATCACAAAATTCAAACCGAAAGTGACGCCATTACCTCAGAGTGCCGCAATTAAAACTCCAGTCCTAACATAATATGTATTTATCCCACATCAATGTGGTTTACATTATTAGGAAGCATTCGGAATTATACCTTTAACGATATGTGACACGGATGGTTTGCTATAAAAATTCAAATCATTAAATTTGGATAAATTTTGAAACATATTTTTTTGTATTGTTTTAGCTCATAAAGTCTTAGGTGTTAAGCATGTTACACAACAATCTGTTGGTTCGAACTTTCACATCGGTGAGCTAGAGAACAAATTAATCTGATTACGTAATTCTTTAACACTTAAAATATTTATCTATTTTTTGAAAAACTTTTACATTCAAATTTGATCGAAGATTCGAAATCGATGGGATAAGGTCTCGTTGCCACGATCGGAGCTGTTCACAGTTCTATTCAAAATTTGTTATTGAGATGGTATGCCATAGAGATCAGAATAATCTGATTCAAATTTTCTTAACAATATGTCACATTAACCTTGCTAGTACAACAGTTCAATTTGATTTTTTTTAAATAAATTAATAAAATCAATCAAATTACCTTCCTGTAAAGCCCGTCTGAGAGCGTATTGTTACACACATCAGTTTCAGAATCCTAACGTATCTTAAATAAAATTATTTCTTTCTACTTGGTAGAAAATTGAACAGCAATCTAATTTTTCTTATAAAGGATTGTTTGTATAATACGTGAAGCTATTCATTTATTCATTTAGGTCGAAAGTATCGAAGTTATATAATAAAAGTGGAACACTGAAATGAAAGTATCAAATTAAGTATAAAATTAGCAAGAAGTAATTGTCAAGTGATTGTGAAATGTAGAAAAAATTAAAGTTTGCACAACTTTGAAAAATAAAACTGCTCCGAGATTTCTTTTTTTTTATTATGTTTTAAATTAAGTCTCTCCGTATGGAATTAGTTTAACTTACAATCAGTTTGATCTGGCAGGATTTTATATACATATATCATAAAATCTTTCCCCATCAAAATTAGAAGAAATTGCACTCTATAAGATACAAAAATCTAGCTCACAGGTCGCCGACTGAATTTACCAAGTTTGGAGATATGAGTTACCTCCCTTTGGCAGAAAACGCATCTTCGATAGAATGTTTTAAGGCCGGCGCATATTTACCGATTTTTTGACGCAACGCCGTACGATTTTTCGACGGCGTCAGATTATCGAGACGTACAGTAAGCGCACACTTACCGCTTTTTTTTATCGCCACTGTGGTGCCTCGATCGGTTTTCTATAGAGCTACCGTAAACTAAATGTCATCCAAAAGTGAGCACGTGATACGTACATGGAATTCTATTGGTTGACCATTAACTAGGCCACGACAATTTTTAAGGAACACTCGCACACTTCCCGCAAGGTACGTCTTTCGATCAAACATTCTAGATATCTCCCGACCACTCCCGATTTTGTCGGACGGGCATCGGTTATAACCCCGAGAAGATGAGCTGGAATATCATTCTAGACACTGCCGCGAGTTGGCCTTGAACACACAGGGTAGCATCCAAGGGTCTACCTAATTGTATCTTTTTTTCTTTTTCTTTTCCTTTTTTTTTTTTTTTTTTTTTTTAATTTTTCCGCGGAAAGTTATATCTATTTCTTACCAGTGCAAAATTTGTTTCAATGTCTTAACAAATAGTAAGTCTAGCTCACTGGTTGCCACTTGGTGAAGTGACCAAAGGCACGAGTTGCACCCCTTAGTAAGAATGGAGTGAGTGACGGTTTTACAAAGAATGAAGAATGCTTAAGACGCCCAAGAACGCTGACGCAACAGTTTTGGAGTTTTCGAAGCTACATAGTTGAACAATTCTTATTGGGTCAAATCGCAGAGGCAAAACAAGATTTGTTAATATAATAATATATAACTATAGCTCGTCATTGGACATCACTTACATACTTTTTAATCTAAATTAATATCCTTTCTATAATGACAAAAATTACCCATGGCAATAATTTTCTTTTATACCATATCATATTTGGGAATCGTAGTAGGTGTTTTATGAAGCAAAATTTCGCATTTATGATAATTTTATACCCGATCACATAAATTTAATGTACAATCCACATTGACTGAGGTTGATTAACTTACCAGATATCGAGTATTTTACTTCCGGTTTGAAATCTTTTTTGAGTAACCAGCATTTCCAGATAAAAAGAAATTAAATACTCACCTTTCGTTTCGATTTTATTTGTAAGGCATCACGAGTTTCATCACTATTACCAGGAACATTTCGTTTCCATAATATTCTTCCAATTATGGTATAAGTAACACTTAATATACACAATGGCAGAAAATAGGTTAAAAATAACACAAACAGTGAATAAGACTGTTTTAATTCTTTTTGAGGATAGGGCCATGATTCGCCACACTGTAGTCTACCAGCACCATCCACTTCGGTCCGGCCTATTAATAACTGGACAGAATTGATGACAACTGAAAATGTCCATATAGTTATTATCACAAACTTTGATTTCGATGAGGTCAAACGTTTTCGTAATGGAAACGCAACAGCATAGAATCTGTCAATGCCTATAGCCATGTTCGTAAAGACGCTGGCGGTAACAGAAACGTATTGTAAAAATATAACAACAGGGCACATTGGTGCTGTAAATACCCATTCACCGATTATTTGATACGATAAGGTAAATGGTATACAAAATATACCCATAATAAGGTCTGCAACAGCCAAATTGGTTAAAAATGCACGCAATTCCGTCCTTGATCTCTTTCCTCTGGTGAATATTACGATTGCAATGGAATTTCCAATTATGGCTGCCACAGTAATAAAAGTATACATGGTTATTAAAATCACTTTAGAATTATAGGGTAAAGTTGGAATTTCTGTAACACTTCTGTTTAAAGAATCATTGTATCCATGTGTAACATGATATGATATGTTAAATATTTCTGTTGAGTTACCATCATCATCTGTCCAAAAGTCTTCCATAGCTGTTGTTGTTTCCAGCAGACGACTTCCGGTACTTATCGTCTCAATCGTTGACATTTCACTCACTTCTGAATCCATTTGGTAGTCATCATTTAATGCAAATTCTAATTTAAATTTCTTTTTTTCTTTGACTGACGTTTTCTTGACGAAGCATCGATCAGCCAATCATATCGATGAAAAGATTTTGTCTGAGGTAGTGATTGGTTGTTAGATTTCAATATATTGTGAGTAGTAATCAATAGAAGCTGACTGTCAACTTGACGGTAATGGTACTCTTGGTAATCGAATTAACTGAAATGAAGAGTTAGATCATAGAATTAATACGCTACTTTGTGTTAAGGATAATTTGCTTTCCATGAAAATATATTGGATTCATATAACTGTGTCTATTCCTCTCGGAATATCTGATAGATTATAAAGCTCTTATCTACCTCCCAGCTATACCGTATGCTTCCTAATACGGTCACAGACCATATGATTACCATTCGTTCTCAATGACGCAATGAAATTGAATTATCCGTTTTCAATGCTCCAACATGGTGCATGATTAATGATAGCTTGAAATGTTAGTCGTGCATAAAACATAAAAAGTTGATATGAGAAAAGTATTTCTTATTTTATCACATTGGCCAAACCTTCAGCTGACGACCTTGAACAAGTAAGCTCTATTGTAGTGAACACATCATAATTTTAATTTTTTACATATGTAGCAAATTGATTATAAAACATAACATAAACGTCGCAAGTTATTTATTTGAGTAACTGTTATCCATAAAATGTGTCCAGTTATTTATTACCTAATTACTAAATGCCACTTAAGGAAGAACTTATATGTTTGGAACTGATATAAATGCAAACTGTTCTATAATTCGTCTTCCAAGATGTTGATGAAAAGGTTTATAGTTTAGATTTTCCACATTCAAATAAATATAGAAACTATATCCCAGGCATACCACTACAAAATAAACAGATTACTGATGGCAACGACAATACAATTAAATTGGAATGTGCTTTTAGTGCATATGAGGAATAAAGTCAATAAAACATATCTGTATAGATGTGACATATAACAGAACAAGTGGGGGTTTAACTTGGTGAAATGGAATAAAAAATCTCATTAGAAGGACACGTCATAGACAGCAAGAAGAATAGCATTGTATGGAATCAGAAATATAGATATTTATAAGCCTGTAAAGCAAGTCGTATATTTGCCTTGTTACATAAAGTATAAACACAACAATACCACTAGAATGTGACAGACATAATATATAACTGCTGGTGTAGAGACAGAAAAACTTGGCCCTGTGTGGCGTTTTAAACCTGTATTTATTTAAATCCTATCCGCCAAACCCAAATTTATTCGGAAAGTTTGATGTTTTGTAGGTCAGTTAAAGCATCATAATCCCCATGCACCATATATGTTAAGTATGCGACTCTTTTTAACGAAACTGATCTATCATCGATACAAAATTTACCAAGATACCCGCAAACTAATTTACAGTCATCGTAAAGGTAGTTCAATATTATGTTAGAAAAAACTCATCTTCGGAGGTGTGGAAAATATAGGGCCTAGTTTTCTTGATTCTACTATAGCCGATAACTGTTAAAATACAAAATATCTACATATATCAGAGGTTGTCTTGGAGGCAGATGCCTCGGACTACATGCAATATAGAAACAAATTATCAATCTACTATATTACGTGATGTACTGTGCCATGTTCCACATTTCATTCAGATTCTAAAAATGCATTATAATTAAATTTTCGTAGGATACAAGGGAGAATTTGTATTTATTTGTACTTTACAAAAAAATTTACAAAATATTAGTTCTACGACAGCAACATCAACAAAACAGCAACTGATAGTCCATATGTTTCCATTTATACACAGAGGTCTAACCCACAGTAAATGTATGTTATTGTAAATCTGTTTTTACCCTTACGCTTTTCTTTAATTACAGACAAACCAAGTTTTATCTTTAAACACTTTTAACCAACTATTTAGTTGTTACTAAACAGAAGTTTAGTTCTGCTTTATGATGTTGACTGGACTATACGGTTCAGATACTGTGACCAGTACTACGCTTAATTCCCCATTCCTAGTGACTTTATATTATCATTGGACATATGTCACTGTTGAAGCATATCGAATGAGTAATAATTATTATTCAATAATTAGTTTCTTCATTAGAGCGTCCATGCAATAAAGATGAGGTGTGTATAGACAGTAAATTACCTAGGTCTCATTAGATAATCGCGCAATGCTTGAAAAACGCCCCTGTGGCATATAACTCCAAATACAAACCTGTAGTAACAGAATATTTATCAAAATCCACTACATGGCGTTATCCGCCAGCAGTAAACATTCCTGTTTCATCCACTGGTATGATGTAACAAAAAATCTAAAATTGCTCATAATTCATAATAATTGCCAAGGTGATAATATTAATGGGAATGTTATGTTACCAGATGAATATGAGAACATGCCAGTCTATTGACAAGACGAGCAGTTATTGGAACCTGCCACATAGCAATTTATTGTCTATAGATCGAGTGTTTATAGCTCATCAAATTCTCAATCAATATCAAATTAGCTGGAATAACATTAAAATTGTCTGAAACAAACCTTTTAAAACACAATATTAGTTCACTGTCTAATAGACTTCGTGACGACATTTACCCTCAAATCAACTTAGTTTCAATCTAAGAAAAAAAGGATTGAATTTTCAACCCAAGAGAAAATATCTTTGTAACTTTAAACTCGCATTGAGTTAGCGTAGACGGTGTTTGTAATCTAAATAAGGTTCCCGGTTGGGTGTTGTGGTTTTCAATTCGTCTCTTAATTTCCGACAGCAAATACCAGAAAAACAAACGCTTGGGGCTTCTCACTAACAATGATTGATCGCTTCATCGACCATTGTGGTCTTTTGGTAATAGGGAGAAAATTGGTAAGAGATAGATGTAGTATTGAAGTTGATGTGTCAATTTACATCTATTATCACAAGTTCGATGGATTTTATAAGGTTACGATGTAAAATACTAGTTTTCCATCTGTTATTAGTCATAAAGTTACAATTGATCTCGCAACGTTTATTCTTAGATTGATATTGTTTGTTTTCCTGGGACCTGCTTAAATGAAAAAACCCGTTTAAAATGCAGTCATTCAGATTAGATTACTAAGTAAAGGCAACAATAGAATAACATTTGGCATATTATTAACTGTTCTTCACTTTTAGTTTAAACCTTTTAATATGAATAAACCAATCAACTGAAGAATCAAAATGGAGATTTCTGCCGTTTTAACTTACAAATACACTCTTTGGTATTTGAAAAGACAACAGAAGTGCTCCTTGCGATACAGTTTTGTGAATAGGAGGTCTCCCAAGAGAGGTAAAATAACTTTTTAGTATAATAATAGTTAAATTTATTGGAAAATCTTACACGATAGAGCTATTTTAATGGACAATTGATTCATATTGCATGAATAGAACAGTTTGAGTTCTTCATAGCTGTGGGCTAGAGTGTGCAATTTTGATTTATCACTATAAAATCTCTTTAATTTGCGCATCTACGCTTAGAATTTGTTTACTTAATATCATTTCCAAATCAGTTCATACAGAAATCCTTATCCGTAGGCGTCAATAAACAAACAGAAATGATACAGATAAAAAAATCACCTCGCCAAAAATAATAAATATAATAACTTGAAATTTATTAATAATAAAACAACTTGTACGAGGTACACGGTGCACTTTCGATTGTCTGAAGAAAGTTTAGGCATAATTAGAGAGTTAACTAGCACTAGCAAAATATTACATTACTGACGTCATGTTTTTAAATATAACCTATAATATATGGGAAGGGAACTCATGCAGAATCGAGAAGCAATCTTATTTTCGATGACTGATTGAAACTAGAGTCTACTGGGTGAATCTGACCAATAGCTGAAATAAGTCCACCTGAAAAATAGCAGCTGCTCATTCTCTGCATTCCAGGTTCAACAAAATGGAATATGCGACCATCCTCTTGATCTTGGTAGTCAGACAATTTCTCGAAAATATGAGCGTTTCCCTCCTGGCGACTGCGACAGATTTCATTAAATGATTTGAATCACCAGTCGAACTGAACCCACCTTCAAAAGGAGATCCATCACTGCACGTTTAGTTTAGGTATATTTTGCAATTTGGCGCCACTATCGTAAACACCACTCAAATCAAATTGATTTCAAATTGACTTCAAGATTTTCTTGAAATTCAGAAATCACAAATGTCAGAATAGTCCAAATAGAATCTACAAGAATTTTCAATACATATACAATGTAGAATCAATCTTCTGCTGTTTAGATACTAGTTAATTTTGAATCTGAGGGAATAGGAAACATTCGTGTTACATTAAATCTTTTAATGGTCTATAGAACGTAGTAAAAATGCATCTACTATTTAGGACGCTAAGTAATCTTTCTATTGAATAAAATGTATTTCTCTGGGATTCGAGTCCAATGTACATTAGTAAATTGAGATGAACTGAACCAAAATAATGATCAATAAAAGCTAATCGTTTCTTTCCTAAAGTTTCATTCCAAGAAAATTAGTTAAGAAACATTCAACTGTTCGGCAATCAAACTCCAGATTTCCAAAGTAACGTCAATCAATCTTGTCTGGAGAACTTTGTCAAGGGGGATAATTAACTTATTCACAGCTTACCTCCAGGTGTCACTATAATATCATTTATTAGAAGAATTCCAGTCTGAGAACTCTTCACATTCATAAGACATTTTCTACACGATTGAGAAAAGTGTTGTCTAGTAGAATTGTATAAAGAAACAATACTTCAGACCAAATTGAATCATCCGATTAAATTGTCCATCAAGCTAGGGTAATTGAAGTTAAATAGTTTTTATTGTGTCTAAGTATAGTTAATGTCTAACTGTATCAGTCTCTGTCTTGTTCATCACTATCAAAACCCACTTCGTAGTCAGATGTCGAGAAAACTTTGAACTCACTTGATCTGAGTTAAGCTTACCAGACCTTTGACATTGATAGTCATTAGTCCGTGAAAATACTAGACAATTATACTACTTGCT